TTTATACCGGACCTCAAACCCGGTCAGCCTTGTCTACTTCACCTTCGCGATCAAAGACCGGCCTTCTGGAGTATGAGATCAACTCACTCACCAAAATTCTGTGCTTCCTGACGCTCTTCCTGTCCATCGTTCTTGTTGCGCTGGAAGGCTTCAGCACGGCCAAGGGAAACATCTGGTACGTGAAGATCATGAGATTCTTAGTGTTATTCTCCACCATCGTCCCCATTAGTCTCCGTGTCAACCTGGATCTCGGCAAGTCTGTCTACTCATGGTTTATTCAAAGAGATCCTGGGATTCCCGGGGCTGTCGTGCGAACCAGCACGATTCCAGAGGATCTGGGACGGATAGAGTATCTACTGAGTGACAAGACGGGCACTCTAACCCAGAACGAAATGGAAATGAAGAAGATCCACGTCGGCACTGTATCGTATGCCAACGAAGCAATGGACGAGGTTGCGACCTACGTGAAGCAAGGGTTCAATCTTAGCTCATCGGCCTCTTCCGCAAGCTTGGCTTTGGCAACCCCGTCTTCAACATACTCGGCCGCCAACGTTGGTGCCACGAGGACACGCCGAGAGATTGGGTCGCGTGTCCGCGATGTCGTTCTGGCTCTTGCCCTCTGCCACAACGTTACCCCGACCTCGGAAGAAGACGAGAACGGCCACACCGTCAACTCATACCAAGCCAGCTCGCCTGACGAGATTGCCATTGTAAAATGGACCGAGTCCGTAGGCCTGCGTCTGGCTCACCGAGATCGCAAGAACATCGTCCTCGAATCCGCCGAAACCGGCCGGCCAGTGGTCAAGGTTCGTATTCTCGACATTTTCCCCTTCACTTCGGAGGGCAAGCGCATGGGCATCATTGTCCAGTTCTACGAAAAGCTCCAGCCCGGAAACCCCAGCCTCGGCAGCAGCGAGATTTGGTTCTACCAAAAGGGTGCGGACACCGTCATGAGCTCCATCGTCGCTGCCAACGACTGGCTCGACGAAGAGACGGCCAACATGGCGCGCGAAGGCCTCCGCACGCTCGTGGTCGGCAGGAAGCGTCTGTCTCTGAAGGAATACCAGGAGTTCTCGGCCAAGCACCACGAAGCTTCGCTCGCCATCAGCGGCCGCGAGGCCAACATGCAGGCTGTCGTCTCGCAGTATCTTGAGCACAACCTGGAACTGCTTGGTGTGACGGGCGTCGAAGATAAACTGCAAAAGGACGTCAAACCTTCTCTAGAACTTCTTCGAAACGCCGGCATTAAAATCTGGATGCTTACAGGCGACAAGGTCGAAACCGCTCGCTGCGTCGCCGTGAGCTCCAAGCTCGTAGCCAGGGGTCAGTACATCCACACGATTGCCAAGCTCAGGAGGAAGGACGGCGCGCAGGATAATTTGGATCTGCTCCGAAGCAAGACCGATTCCTGTCTGCTCATCGATGGAGAGTCCCTCGCCATGTACCTGACCCACTTCCGACGCGAGTTCATCTCCGTGGCCGTGCTCCTGCCGACCGTCGTGGCTTGCCGTTGCTCGCCTACCCAGAAAGCCGAGGTCGCCAAGCTAATCAAAGAGTACACCAAGAAGCGCGTCTGCTGTATCGGGGACGGTGGAAACGATGTTTCCATGATCCAGGCTGCCGACGTGGGCGTGGGCATTGTGGGTAAGGAAGGTCGTCAGGCTAGTTTGGCGGCCGACTTTTCCATTGAGCAGTTTCACCATTTGACCAAGCTTTTGGTGTGGCACGGTCGTAATAGCTATAAGCGCAGCGCAAAGTTGGCGCAGTTTGTCATTCATCGTGGCTTGATTATTGCTGTCTGTCAGACTATGTACAGTATTGCTCTCAAGTTTGAGCCGGAGGGTCTCTACAAGGTACGCTTGACTTGGCGAGCGATCCCTTTCGTTGCAGTCGTAGTTACTAACCGAAAAAAAAACACAGGACTGGCTGATGGTAGGCTACGCAACAGTCTACACCGCATTCCCCGTCCTCTCTCTCGTCCTCGACAAGGACGTAGACGAGGACCTTGCCAACCTGTACCCCGAGCTCTACAAGGAATTAACCTCGGGTAGCTCTCTTTCTTACCGGACGTTTTTCGTTTGGGTCTTCGTCTCCATCTATCAAGGCTGTCTGATCCAGGGCCTGTCTCAAGTCCTCACCGGCATCGATGGCCCCCGCATGTTGGCCGTCAGCTACACGGTGCTGGTGCTCAACGAGCTGCTCATGGTTGCGATCGAGATCACAACGTGGCATTGGGTCATGGTGGTCTCGATTGTGGGGACGTTTCTGATGTACATTGTCTCGATACCGTTTTTGGGAGAATATTTTGATTTGAAGTTTGTTTTGACTTTGTGAGTGTTATTACCTTTTCTCTCCCTGGGGGTATTTTCTCTCACTGGGGGTACTACCGTATCCCTTTAGGAAAATTGTTCACTAACCTGACTCGCCAAAAAAAAAATAGGGGCTTCTTATGGCGCGTGGCTGCTATCGCTGCTATCTCGCTCATCCCGACGTATGCGGCCAAGGTGATTAGGAGGACGATGAAACCGCCTTCGTATAGGAAGGTTCAGGGGATATAAGAGTTAGATGTGGGCAAAAGAAAGAAGAAAAGGAAGAAGAAGAGGCTTGAGCTGGGATGGGAGGAAGTGGATTGGAATTGAATAAAACACAGTGTCGAGGTCGGCGTCTCTTGTTTTTCTCCTTGTTGACTTTTATAAACACTAGACGTCCTACATACCTCTACACAGTTGGTATAGCGCTGATACTACCATTAGTATCTCAACACCTCCAGCTTTTGTTTTGCCCAAACGTTGGTGTGCATGATGACATTGTTCGCCAAACCATCCAAAAACTGGACGGTGGGCTGCTTGCATTCGTTACTTGGGAGTGTTCACTCACTATTGTGGGTATGCTTAGCGATGTCACGGTGATCAAGAACATTCGGCTTTGATCGGAATTGAATTCAGCTATGAAGACTTTTCACGAAGATCTCACAAATTCTTACAGACTAAGTAAGGTACGTAGATACCTAGACGTCTACAAGGGCAACCTCAGAATTTCACCACCCTGCTTGATCCCGCCCCTGAACAGCTCCTTAATCACGTTCCCCTTCTTGATTGTCTCCTTCACAATCCCCTCCACATGCTTCGGCTCAACCCTACCGTACCAAATACCATGTCCCGCCAGTGGATGCGGCACGTCCGAGTCATCATAAGACTTCAAGCCCGGCGGGATATAAACAATCACGTTGCCCGCAAACTTGTGGCCACCAATGTGGCTAATCAGTCCAACTCTTGCTCCCCAGACCCCCTTCTTTTTCTCCAGGTCCACGGCCTTCTCAGCAGCGCCCTTCAGCACCTCAATCCCCGGCCCTTGTTGTTGTTGTTGTTGACCTTGCTCCGCCAGCCTCGTCTCGAACTCACTTCTCAACAGAGGCCCGTACACCCCGCACCGCTGGTCCCGCCCGCCATGGCCGCAGATGAGAACAATCACCTCGTTGCGGATGTCGCGGACCCCGCCGGGTAGCATATCGGCATAGCTGGGATCGCGGAGGAGGGCCTCCCTCTTGGCGGGCGGCGAGTGGTTGTGCACGGGGTGCAGCTTTTCGGGGAGGAGGTGGGCTTTTACGAGGGCCTTGACGTGGTTGGGGTCGGAGGAGAGGGAGGGAATGTATTTGAAGTCGGGAAGGAGGTAGATGGATGTTGTTGTTGGGGCGGTGGTGTTTGTGGCCTCCTGGTCGGCGGGCGAGGAAGCAGAAGAAGGAGACGAAGATGGGGGGAAGGAGACGTTGAGGACGGAGATGTTGTGGAAGGGCTGTTGATGGGGGAGGAGCAAACCTCAAGGGGGAGGTGGGAACTTACCTGTTAGCCATTACTGCTTTCTTTTTTATTTTATTTTTGTTTTTTCCCCGTTGGACCCTCCACCATCTCCTTTAACTGTGACTGGCTGGACCTTTCCATGGGCTTTTTGGTCAACTCACATCGCTATAGGGACCTCCGCGGCCGATTAAATCACGCAACATGGCGGCATGGTTTTGGCCATTGTCATCGTCCTCGATCTTGGATGGCCAGTCGTCCTTGCCAGTGCAGATTAGGACTTGCTGAGCGTGATTTGGCATAAGACCGTTAAGAGGCGTAGTATGATCGATCTCGAAGCCTTCGGGGAACGAGGGAGTCGGGGCGCATGAGCAGGTTGGCGATGGGCAGGTATCGATGGTCGGGAAGACCGCAGGGGCGCCTCTTGCTGCGTATGTGCGCCGGAAGGAGGGGGCTACATTGCTGGAGCGTTGAGCGCAAGCCCGCGTCGTCGAAGCGCTCAGGGCTGCGGTTGCGACTCGTGATGTTTGGCGGAGAGGTCGGAGGAGGAGCATGGTTGTTATCTGTGCGGATCAAATGCGCAGGGCAGACTGTCTGGCCGTGTAGAGCCCAATTTCGGGGTCGGAGATGTCGTCTTTTATATCCCTTACCGTTGTCGCAAATGGACTTGGTGATGGATGATGGTGCTTAGTTAATTTATGTCAGCGGAGAGTTCGGAGTTACGAGTGAGGTGCTTACTGTGTAACCACAGGGGTAACTTTTGGCGTCATCGAAGTGGAACAGCTTATCGAAGCTTTATCTGATTAGATAAGGATGCAATGCATGTGTACCTATAGGTAGGTACCTCCAGAGGTACCTCTTGAGTCCCTCGATTGCACCTTTCGGAAATGGTACCCGATCAGCGTCAACCGACTTCAACCGTCGATTTGACTTTGGTCATGTAAACTTCAGACTTTAGTGAGTGTGGCTCACCTTTTCAGGTTTCTATAACAAGTTTGTCTCTCAGTTGAGATCATATCACTAAATAGCTACATGGTCAATGTCAGAAACAAAAATAAATAAAAAATCAAAAGGCGTATCAAATTAGTCACATTCCTGGCATCCATTCGCATCCTCACCCTGATTTACAGAAGAAAATAGCACCAAGAAGTCTCACGACGAGTTTGTGACTTAGAAGACAACCTTCGTAACATCTCCCGGACAACTATGCCCCGAATCAAACCTCAACTCTTTTGGCAAGGCCGCAAAAAACTAGGTCTTAACGCCGCCAAACTTCTTCCTGTTTGTCGAACCCTCGAATCAACCGCCAACGAGCTCCGCTGGATCAAACAGCATGTCGCCGAAACCCCTTCCATCATTCCCTTTGGTGCCCGAGTATGGAAGCTATGCGACAGGCGAGGCAAAGGTCTCCCTTTGGCTTACGTGCTAGGCAACCAGCCATTCGGTGATCTCGAAATCAAGTGTCGACCAGGGGTGTTGATTCCCAGGTAGGTACATTTGCATGCATTCATTCAATCATCACCATCTCATCACTTTACCTACTCTCAGCTGTTGTAAACTTCTCTTTACACATGGACTAACTGACACTTTTCTTTGCCTCCAAACAAAAAGAACTGAAACAGAATCCTACACCATCCACCTCTCCAACATCCTTCGCCGCTCTCTTTCCAGTTCCAAATCAGAATCAGATCAACATCAACACCAACCCCTAAACATCATCGATCTCTGCACCGGCACAGGCTGCATCCCCCTCCTCATCTACTCCCAACTCTCCCGCTCTCTCCCTTTCCAGTCTCTAAACGTAGTGGGAGTCGACATCTCCCAAAAAGCCATCAACCTCTCCCGGCAAAACCTGCACCACAATCTCCGTGCGCACCGCTTCCCTCGCCCTTCCAGTCCCGGAGATAAATCCCATCCACAAAGATCGCTCCATTTCCACAAAGCCGATATCTTCTCCCCTACCTCCTTGGACCCCATCCTCTCCACCCCTTCATTATCATCCACTTCCTCCTCCTCCTCCTCTACAGGTACAGGTGGTGAATGGGACCTCCTGACCTCCAACCCCCCTTACATCTCCCCTTCAGGCTTCGCGCTGTCCACCTCTCGCTCCGTGCGCAACTGGGAACCAAAACTCGCTCTCGTCCCGCCCGTCGAGCGCGTGGATTTACATCAGAAGCATTTCTACGATCACTACTACGCCGACAACGAGATCTTGTTACAAACGGTGGAATATCAGGAAGAGGACGTGTTCTATGCAAGACTGCTGGAGATTGCGAGGACTTATAGGCCGAAAAGGGTGCTAATGGAGGTCGGAGACATGGAGCAGGCGAAGCGGGTGGTGGGGATGGTTTTGGGGGATGGGAAATTGAGGGGATTTTATTTCGGTAGTGGGGAAGGGACTGATGGAAAGGAAAAGGGGGCAGGGGCAGGTGCGGTGCAGATCTGGAGGGATGATTTGGTGGGGTTTGAAGGGTATGAAGAGACTTTGGAGGTGGGTGTGGGAGTTGATGGACAAAAACAAACAATTGTGGTGAAGGGTCATCCGGAGGGACATGGGAGGAGTGTGTATTTGAGGAGGGTTGGGGTGGTTGATGATGTGTGAGGAACCCAAGAAAGGGAAAGGAGGTGTTCACAGCAAGTATTTTTTTTGCATCTTGCATACTGCGAACAAGTTGGAAATGAAAGAGAGAAACTCAAATCACCTGTATGCTTTTTGAGTAATATTGAGCGCGACATAAGTCGCAAAAAGTTCAATCGCCCAAGAGGCTGGGGGGAACGAACCACCATACTCCGGGAGACCTACGAAAACTGTACCTCGGGTACCACGCACACCGGCAATGTTTTCATCAACAGGAACCACTGCGCCATACGACCACAGCCAGGTTCCATTGTGGTAGAGGGACTAGGCAACGGACCTTATATGGTTGCCTGGTGCTGGTGGATGGGATGAAAGGGCCCAGGCTCGGGCTCGAAGTGGAAGTTGCGTGTGGGTTGAGAAGGTACCGAGGTGATAGATGATGACTAGCGGCTGATCAGGATTTAGTTCTTTCGTCTATATTATCCCTTCTATTCAGTACTCATCAAAACTTTTGTCTAGTTCAAGCTCTTACCCTAATCTTACAGTAACCGAGTGTACAGATACAGAGAATATCTACCAAGAAGCAGAGAGAAAACAAGAAACTGCGACCTTGCTCTTCCCAGCCCTCTGCCCCAATGCTGCCATCCACAAACCCCATCCTCAGTCTCCAACTACGAACAAGCCAACCCAACTCACAACTTCAAGACCATCCACTCCTCCTTGTTCATCTTCCCTTTCTTCATCAACTCACCCGCCACCCCCGCCACATGTCCCTGTCTCTCCAAACCTTCGGACCAAGCCTTGGGACCAGCGAACCGGGCAATGAACCCATCCGGCCCGGAGACCATGAGAAGGTTCTTGCCGTTTGCATGAGAAGCGCACTTGCACCGGGCTTCGTGGTCCTGCCTGTCGCTGACGTTGATCAAGGCGGAGGAAGAATGGAAAGGACAGGAGGGGTGTGTCGTGCTTTTGGTGAGGGATGTGGTGGAAGAAGACTTCGGGTTGGGAGTGGTAGACACAACAGCGTCAAGAATAGTCTTGGCGTCAATAAACCTTTTCTCCGTGTCGACTGTGCAAGCGTAGTTGAACTGCTCGGGGTGATGGGCTTTGATGTCCTGGAGATAAGGCATAATACCACCAGCAGCGGTATTCTTAGCGTTATCAAGGGAAGGAGGCAAATACCCCCTCTTCCTCAACGCCTCCAAGTCCTCGCAATCCGGACAATCCTCCCTGAACCTATTCGCCCACACAATCGTCATCTTCGGTGGTATGGCAGGCATATCCTCGATTTCCTTCCATTCCTCCTCCTTCTTCCCGTTCTCCTTTTCGTACACAGGGCCGTACAGCCTCCTAGCCACCTGCAGCGCCGGCGCAATACCAGTACCTCCAGCTAGGAAAACCACCCGCCCTTGCTCTTTCCCACCACCACCAGAGCTGGAGCTTTCCAAAGAACCACCAAGCCTCCTCGCAACATCAAACCCCAAATGCGGTCCCCTCAACTCCACCTTATCCCCCACCTGCAGCTTACTCAAATAGCTGCTCACCTCCCCGCCCTCCATCTTCCTAATCAAGAACCTCAATCGTCCCCTAACCATCTCCTCTCTTTCCTGCCCCACCGGCGGTGGCAAGGGGGTATAGTCCCTCGCCACCTGCAACTGCGGCTGCTTAATCTCCACGCACCACAAGCCGTGATTCCAGGCCTCCTGGAGCTCATTTCTTAGCTTGTTCGCATTCTTCCTCGCGTTCTTCTCACTCCCACCCATGAGACGGTGGAGCGGATCAAAGGGTTCCACAGTGATGATGAACGCCGTACTCGACACCTGCTCGCGCTCAACGATGGTGTAAGGCACGAAAGAGGTCGGGTTTAGCGAGGGCGGGGAGACGATATCCAAGAGAACGGGGATGTCCCCTAGGGAGAGGTCGTTGGGGCGGAGAATAATGGAGTGGAAGAGGTAGCCGGAGAAGACGGCGGCGATGAGGAGGAGTTTGGACTTTTTGGAGTTTGATGATGATGATGATGATGATGATGATGAACCGTCGGACTTTTGGTTATCTTGGTCTTGGTTGGATTGCTGTTCTTGTTTTTGGTTCTGGGGGGTGTTATGGCCCATGCCTTCGCCGGGGGAGAGTTTGGAGGAGTATGGCCTGGCAATACTTCGGATCTGGAGAGAGGTGGTGTTGCTGTGTACTACTGGATTGAAATGAGAGACGTTATATGTCCCCGGCCTGACTAATCGGAGGCATGCTGGGCTTGTTGGTGGCAGACGCCGTGTTAATGGACGGAGAAGTCGGGCACTCATTTTTTGTTGTTCCTGATCGACTCGAAACGGTAGAAGATTGTGAGAGAAATCTCTCTCTTTTTCAGCGGGAGGGCAAATATGTATGAGAAAAGAAAGACAAAAGGTAAAGAGAGCGAAGGATAGACAGGCGGGGGAGGGTTGAATGAATGAACAGCTTGAGTCAGAAATATGTACTATGGACTGAATGAATGTTGTTGAGTGGAAAATGTGAAAGCGAAGTTGAAAGTCCAGATTTGGTGTTAGATCAAGGGTTAGGGTTGCAAGCGGTTCAATTCCCTTTGGAGGCAAAGCTCTTTGGAGGTCAAGTCTTAAGGGATTGATGCTCATGCCAAATCGAGACTTGATACCAAAATTCTAGAAATTCGCTACTAAGATTGACAAGACTCCTAGGGACCGAGTCAGGATTCGAAAAGTTCAAGCCAGGTTTGTTTTGCGGTACCAAGTACCGGGTATCTAGACATTCTATTCATCCTTTCGGTCATCAGGTTATAGAGCAAGAAAGTTCCCTTGCCAGGTGACAAAGCTTCTTGTTCATAAACAGCCTTCATCACTATCCAAGAGGCAGTGTCGGCTAACCAACCCACCACCAACAAATCTTCATTACCTTATCTGCCAAAACTTCCACCAGGGTCTCTCTTCCCTCACCTCCCTCATCCCACCCACTTCTCTCTTAACAGCGCTGCGTCCGTTCACATACCTCCGCCAATAGTACACCGGTACGCCCACCACCACAAAAGCCACAACCAACAAGGTCTGCAGCGGCTGGGCAAAGACCGCCCTGCTCAGCAGGAACAGACTCACACAGCAGAAGATGATAGGTGTGGTGATCCACGTCTTGTACGGCCTCTCGAGATTAGGTTCCTTAACCCGGAGCACGATCAGACCCAGCACCGTCAAAAAGTAAAACGTATAGCCAGCCACTCCGTAGAAGGTGACGAGTGTACCAAACTCGCCCACGCATACGTAAGCGGTCGTAAGAGCGCAGTTCAGCATGAGCGCGGGGATAGGCGTGTAGAAGAGACCGGTGTCTTCATCAGCAACAATACGGACAAGCTTCTTGGTGAACCACGAGCGAGTGCGCATGGTGGTTAGGGATTCATGTTGGTCAACGGCGGTGCCGCTGCCGATGCGCCCAAAGAGCTCAGGAATGTAGCCTTCCTTGCCGGCAACGTAGACGAGGCGGCTGCTGGTAAAGGTGGAGGCGTTGAGAGCGCCGAAGCAGGAAGCACTGACAATGAGGGCGAGGATTAAAGCGCCAACGGGACCAAAGACTTTGGATCCGAAAATGACGGCCACGGTGTTGGTAGAGTTAATAGTGTCCAGGGGAAGGACGAAGAAGTAGGCAACATTGGCCAGGATGTAGCTCAAAATGACGAGGGGCATGGCTGTGTGAATGACCCGTGGAAGGTCTCGACCGGGGTTGCGAAATTCACCAACCACATAATTGGTCTGGTGTTTGGTTAGCGAGAGTCAACACAAGGGGCAAGAGGAAACTCTTACGTTATCCCACCCATCAAACGCCCAAAGGCCGGCATACAGGGCCACCGCAAAAGCCGACGCATCCATCTTGGTGCCCTCAAACCAGTCATGCTTCTTCCAGTCGAGATTTGCCGCCCCAGAAAACGAGAAGCCAGTCGCGGCAACGACGATGCCAACAATGGTAACGCCAAGCAATGCAACAAATTTGAGAAACATGAGCATATCGTTCATCCGTGTCCCGAGCTTGGTCGAGACCGAGTTCAGAAAGGTGACCAGAAAGAGTCCAACCAGCGCGACTGACTTGCTGATCCAGGGGTTGATGGTCTCGGCTTCGGCGCCAATGAAGGTTCTCACCAGGTACTCGCCCATGATGATGGAGATGATGGCGGCGCTACCAGGCTTCAGGACCAGCACCGCGACCCATGTGAACAGAAATCCGGCCAGTTCTCCAAAGATCTTGGATAGGTACACCTGCGGGCCTCCGTTCAATGGTATGGCACCTCCCAATTCTGCGTAACTTGCGGCGCCCGTCCAGGCCAGAATCCCCGCCACAACCCATACGATAATGGCTGCTCCAGGCGACCCTGCATTGGCGTTGACCTGACTAGGCGAAGAAAAGATGCCCGAGCCAATAATCAAACCAACAATCAAGGACAAGCCATTTAGGTAAGTCAAGGTTTTGTGCTTCTCTAACGAGCCTCCTCCCAAACCGCCATTGACATGACCCCTCGTTGCTGTGGGCGCACCCAACGGAGCATATCCGCCTCCGGTTGTCGACGATAGAGGAAAGAGGTTTGCGGCGAAGCTGAATGTAGAATTGACAGACGTCGATCGTTCTGGGCGCACACGGTGGCCCGAGGCAGCGTAGTTGCCATTGTCCAGGGGGTCCTCTCGCTCGAGGGAGAGCTTTCGCGACGACGAAATGCTCGGACGGGAACTGGTGTCGTCGCCTGTGTCGGGCCCGGGGTCTGAGCTGGCTAGAGATGCGAGTTCTAGCGAGTCACGCCCGGGTTCCAGGTTGTGAGAGTACAATGGTGGCATGTCTCGGGTGCTACCTCTTGCGGGGGCGCTCGGTCGGTCGAACTTGTTGCTTTCTAAACTCGGGGTGTTTCTGCTGACAACGATATCATAGCCGTACAAGTCTCCTTTGATCTTCTCGGTATGCGTCTCGGTTGTTGAGTGAAGAAATGTTCGAATGGTGCAGAAGACTGGCGCAAAGCCCGGTCAAGGTGGTTGGTATTAAGTGGTGTAAGAGTGGTAAGGGTATCTATTATCGTGATGATCGTGGCTCGTGGTTAACACGGTTTCCAGACGTGGCTCTAGAATAGACAATGATGAGGCTTGAATAGCAAGCAAATAGAACACAGAGAAGAAAGGAAGAAGCAGATTAAGAAAAAAAAGAGTCTAGAATGCGGGATGGCGTGTCTGGCCGAATCTGGCGGAAATGAGGCTTGTCAGGGCCACTCTTTTTCCTTTGAACCGCGACAGCGACACCAGTGACAGCAACTAGTTGCCCTGGAAGCTCCAGACAAGTCTGGATGGAAACAGGGCCCAAAGTACGGGGCGGGTGGGTTGTACCCCAGTATTTTCCCCGGCAGGCAAGACAAGGCCAGGCACGGCCAAATGCGGGCCAATTGCGGGCCAAGAAGCAGGTTCAAGGGGCACGCTCCACTCCACATCAAGAACCTTGAGACCTCCAGTTGGCCTGGTCTGTGCACTCCTACCGTGACCCATCTGGCGGCTGTTGTTCTTCATTACGCAAAGTACCAGCAACTTGATGATGAAGATCATGCAAACTCTAAAATCCTGGAATTGTATTGTTATGCCTAACTTTTGTCTCAGTTTCAAAGCCTAACAATATCTCTGTTCACTCTACTCGAGCAAACATCTGACATGTATCACCATCGGATCTAAAGTCCGCGAGTCTGGGTAGATGTGCTGCAGCTTCGTCTCTTGTACCTTGGACTTGAGAAACCCTGCAGATCGACATAACCAAGAAAAGGAAAAAATTGACGTCCGATGTCGAATACAACAACTTCGATACCGAGAATATTGCTCTATCGTAGCTTGAGAGTGCTTCTGATTCATTCATTGTTTGCTAGACTGGGCAGCAACTGACTACATATCATGTAAATGCAAAGACTGAGGACGCAGCTGCCCGTTGACTCTGGATACAAACAAATCGGATGAACATGCAGTTTTAACGAGAGTGCTTCGGCTTGTTTCCTCCTCCAATTTTCCCCGCCGGTTGACCAGGCAATGTGATCATCGGCCCAAACAAAAACAACGCGATGCCTCTCATTTGCGCAAGGCCGCTCGGCCGGTTAGTGCCCAAGCTGGGCTCATCACTACGACCAGTTCTCTCCTCTCTTGCTGCTTCTCCCCGGCGCCCTGTTGGCGTTGCCCTCCAGCAGCACTTGGGCACCGAGTCTTGGAAGAGATTCTATGCCGACCACAAGCTAGACCTCCTCGCCCTCGACCAAAAATGGCGCCAGAAATGGGCCGAATCCAGCCGTGAGAAGGGCAACAAGGAAGACGAAAAGAACCAATATGTCCTTCCCATGTTTCCCTATCCATCGGGCAATCTGCACCTCGGCCATCTCAGGGTTTACACCATTGCCGATGTGATTGCGAGGTTCCAGACTCTCCAGGGCCACAAGGTCCTGTTGCCCATGGGTTGGGATGCCTTTGGATTGCCAGCTGAAAATGCTGCCATTGAGAGAGGCATCAACCCGGCCACATGGACCAAGGCCAATATCGCTAAGATGAAGGAGCAGCTGGGTCACATGAACGGCTCATGGGATTGGAACTGCGTGCGTATCCCACACACATCATGTGACTATTGTATAAAATCTCCATGCTAACCCAGCCCAGGAACTTGCTACTTGCGATCCCGACTTCTATAAGCATACGCAAAAGATCTTCCTCGCTCTCCATGAGAAGGGTCTGGCCTACCAGGCGGAAGCCGAGGTCAACTATGACCCTGTCGACAAGACGGTGCTTGCGAACGAGCAAGTTGATGCCAACGGCTGCTCGTGGAGGTCCGGTGCCAAGGTCGAGAAGCGCAAGCTGAAGCAGTGGTTCCTCAAGATCTCCGAATTCCGCGAGTCCCTGCTCAAAGACCTAGAGACGCTTGCCAAGAACGAGGCGTGGCCCGAGAGAGTCCTGGCCATGCAGAAGAACTGGCTAGGCAAGTCCAAGGGCGCGACTGTCAAGTTCCCCGTCCTGGCTTTTGGCCAGGGTACTCCCTCTGCCATCGAGGTGTTCACCAGTCGACCTGATACCCTTTTTGGTGTCCAGTACATTGCCCTCGCTGCTACTCATCCTTCCGTTCAGCAACTGGCAAAGAGCGACCCCGAGCTTCAGGCCTTCCTCAGCACATTGCCCGGACTTTCTCCTGACTCCAAGGTTGGATACCTGCTCCCCCACATTCGCGCCGTCAACCCCTTGGCCTATCACGAAGAGACACCCGAGGACACCAAGGTCTCGCTTCCCATTTATGTAGCGCCATATGTCCTTGGTGACTATGGTGAGGGCGCCGTAATGGGTGTGCCCGGCCACGATCTCAGAGACCATGCTTTTTGGAAAGAACACCACTACGACGCTCCCGTCCGCTTCGTCCTGGCGGCTTCCGAGGATGAGAGTACTACCGCCATGCCCAACGAGCCATTCACTGACCATGGCGTTATGAACGCCAACAGTGGTATCTTCAAGGGCAAGTCGTCCAAGGAGGCCGGTGAGATGCTCGTCAAGCTTCTGGAGCCCGCTGGTCTCGCAAAGGAGACTGAGAAGTGGCGTCTGCGTGACTGGCTGATCAGCCGCCAGAGATACTGGGGAACACCCATTCCCATCGTGCACTGCGGCTCTTGCGGCACTGTTCCCGTTCCTGACGAGCAACTCCCTGTTGTACTCCCCGAAGTTGACGAGCACTGGGCTGGCAAGAAGACCGGCAATCCGCTCGAGTCTCAAACCGACTGGATCAACACATCTTGCCCCAAGTGCGGTGGCGACGCCAAGCGCGACACCGACACCATGGACACCTTTGTCGACTCGAGTTGGTACTACATGCGTTTCATCGACGCCCACAACAAGGAGGCTCCCTTCTCACCCGAGAAGGCCAAGGCTCTCACTCCCGTTGACCTCTACATTGGCGGTGTCGAGCATGCCATTCTGCATCTGCTCTACTCCCGTTTCATCTACAAGTTCCTCATGACCTCTTCCTTTCCCGGCAAGGAGGCCGAAACTGCCGAAGCTGCCGAGTCCGAATCCTCCGAAGTTTACGAACCCTTCAAGCGTCTAATCACCCAAGGCATGGTGCACGGCAAGACCTACACCGATCCAGCCACAGGCCGCTTCCTTAAGCCGGACGAAGTCGACCTCAGCGACCCCCACCAACCCAAGGTGGTGGCCACGGGCGCGCTCGCCAACGTCAGCTACGAGAAGATGTCCAAGTCCAAGCACAACGGCGTGGACCCGACCACGTTCATCGCGCAGTACGGCGCCGACGCCACGCGCGCGCACATACTCTTCCAGGCGCCCGTCAGCGAGATCTTGGACTGGGACGAAAGCAAGATTACAGGTGTGACGCGGTGGTTGAGTCGTGTGCATGACTTGGTTCAAAAGACTGCTTCTTCTTCTTCTACTTCTTCCACTTCTGAGACCCTGTCTTTCGCCAGCACCGTCAAGGCCTTCTTTGAACAGCAATCCGAGTCTGTCGTTGATCTCGCCAAACTCGACGCCTCCATCGCCATCTGGCGCGAAGTCCAACGCACCATCGCCTCCGTCACCGCCTCCTACAACAAAGTGTATACACTCAACACGGTCATCTCGGACCTGATGTCACTTACCAACGTGATCGCCTCTTCGTCTAATTACGACGCCGCCGACCCCCTAATCAAGCGCGAGGCAGTCTCCGCTCTGATCCGCATGATGGCGCCCGTCGCGCCCGCCTTTGCCGAAGAGTGCTGGCACGTTCTTTTCCCCGAATCTTCTTCGTCCTTGTTCAGTGGCAGTGGCAGTGGTGAGCAAGCAAGGTTCCCGGTCCCCGATGGTACGGAGGGGTTGTTGAAGAGCAGGAAGCAGATGTGCGCGGTGCAGTTGAATGGCAAGACCAAGTTCGCGGTGGAGATAGGGACGCCGCCGGCTGGGTTGTTGGAGAAGAGTGCGGAGGAGAAGTTGAGGGAGTTTATTGTCGGTGAGGTGTTGAAGACGGAGGAGGGGAGGGCGAAGCTGGAGGGACGCGGGGTGGATGTGAGCAAGGCGAAGAAGGTTATCGTTGTTAGGGGAGGAAAGCTGTTGAATGTTGTTATGTAGAGTTGAGATAAAAGAGGGTGGATGGTGTAAGTAGGTATATACTTACTGTACGATTAGGTGTTTGTATCAGTGGGAGACTGTGGTGGGTTAGAGAAATAGATCATTACTACTCTCATGTATTTTCTTCTCTCTCTATGCTCTGCAGATAAGAGATCGTGTTGTGTAGCTCCATCGCTAACCATCGCCATACATGATGCTCTTCATCGGCTGCTGGTGAACATTAACACAAAACGTACGAAGTAAGTGCCGTACCTTGCCAACCTACGTTCAACTCCCTCCCTCTCCGATAGCCCACCCGGGCCCTTTCATCCCATTCCATCCCATCCCCAGCTCCATGCTCCAGACAGCAAACGCACCACATAAGTCGGCTACCTGGCCCCCCTTAGTACAACGAGAACCCTGTTGGTCTTATGCCTCAGTGGTTTCCGATGATGGACACATTGCCGGCGTGCATTATTACCCAAGGTACAGTTTTTGTAGGTTGTACACTATAGCTGCAGTATGGTGGTTCGTTCCCAAGCCTCCTAGGCCCATGGGCTTTTTGCCACATTTGTCGCGTAAGTAAACTATGACAGGAAGGGCTGGTGTGCACGATGGCTTAGACACCATAGTCCCTCGAAGGAATTCATAAGATCAGTCAAGTTCATCACTCGCAGTTCATCATTCGTCACAGCGGAACGATAATTGTTGGTTAGGTCATGATCATTGATATTCCACTATCTTAATTGCTTCATACCCAAAACCAGATATATTCCCAAAAGAAAGCCCCCAAAAACCGCTATTTAATCATGCAAAAATGGAAAAAAAAAAAAAAAAAAAGGTGCTTGCTGCTGCCCCTCCTTAAGCAGACTTGGCAGCAGCAGCAGCCTTGGCGCGCTCGCGCTCACCATAAGACTTGGTGGCGTAGTCACCGCCGTAGACAATGAGATCCTCAGGCCTGTAGTCGTGCTTGCCGGAGAGGTAGCTCTCGATGATGGCCTTGGTGCCAGCAGCATAGCGCTTCTGGGCGTCGAGCGAGGTGCCGGACATGTGGGGGACCATGGCGTTGCCGCCGCCGAAGGGGTTCTTGGCGTAGCGGAGGGGGTGGTCCTGGGGGGCGGGCTGGGGGAACCAGACGTCACCGCCGTAGCCGCGGAGGTGGCCGGACTTGAGGGCCTCGGCGACGTCCTCCTTGACGACGATGGCGCCACGGGCAGTGTTGACGAGCCACGAGCCCTTCTTCATCTTGGAGATGAGCTCCTTGTTGAAGAGACCCTGGGTCTTCTCGTGAAGGGGGCAGTTGATGGTGACGACGTCGCACTGGGCGAGCATCTCCTCGAGGTCGGCGACGCGGCGGCAGCCGATCTCAGCCTCCTTCTCGGCGGAAAGGGGCTGGTAGTCGTAGTAGAGGAGCTCCTTGCAGTCGAAGGGCTTGAGACGGCGGAGGACACGCTCACCGATACGGCCGACACCGACGGTACCGACAACCTTGCCCTCGAGATCGAACTCGTTCTTGGCGGCCTCGGCGACGTCCCAGCGGCCCTCCTGGATCTGCTCGTGGGCGGGAACGAAGTTGCGGACGAGGACGAGGATGGTCATGAGAACGTGCTCAGCAACGGAGACGACGTTGGAGCCGGTAACCTCGGCGACGGTGATACCGCCGTTGGTCTTGTTGGCGGCATTGAGGTCGACGTGGTCGGAACCGATACCGGCAGTGACAGCAAGCTTGAGCTTCTTGGCGCGGGCGAGACGCTCAGCAGTGAGGTAGCCGGGGTGGAAGGGAGTGGTGATGATGATCTCGGCATCCTCGAGCTCCTTGTCAAAGGTAGAGTTCTCGCCGTCCTTGTCGCAGGTGGTCACGAGGGTGTGGCCCTGATCCTCGAGCCACTTGCGGAGACCAAGCTCGTTCTGAATGGTTCCGAGAAGCTCAGGAACCTGATGAGTTGACAATCGTTAGCCATTGCCTCTTGGTGTTTTCCCATATTTCGTCCCGTATCCAAGGTCTCCATTGCCATGTCCATGAAAGCCAAGCCAACAACCACGCTGTGCCAAGCCGGAAGCCAACCGCCGGGTTCGACGCCAAAGCAGGTCGGGGTGGCGCCCCACATCCCCGAATGGATCCCGAAACCCGGTCCGTGACCTCAAGCATTCAACATGACGGGTAAACAGTTGCAGTGATGCCTTTGAGCCATGTCTACCCCGCGATTTGTGTCCGTTCCATCTCTTTCAGTCGCATGAGAGATGCAGCTCAGATTGTCTCAACTTTCTCAGTGCTCTTCTTTTTTTTGGGCCGTTCAGCTCATAGGGCTGGGCCTTTGATCGATCATGGACAATGGTGATGGAGACATTTGGCGGATATGCCAAGGAAAGTGGATGGCCACTCCATGACAGAGTGGAGTAAGTGGGATGTGGGAAATGTCTATCTTACCTCCTCGCCGTGCTTGCCACCGTCATAGAGAACCGCAAGAACCTTGACCTGTTCGCGTGATATTGTTAGCAATCGTACACTTGCGGGGAGTTGCTGTTGCCGAAACTGGTAAAGTCCCGTCGAAGAGCAGCCCTGGACACTAGGTCGAAGGCTGGACGCTCTCGGGGGTGATGATGTTTGAGAAACATTGTGGAAGGACCGCGGTGAAGGAAGAGGCAGAAGAAGCAACGGAGCGCGCTAAACGTACCATTTTGTCGGTTGTTTTGTTTATGTGATAGAAAAGTTTGGTGTTATAGTGGATGGATGAAAGACGAGAGGAACGTCTTTATATGTTTGTCTGTTGTTGAGTGAAGAGTGGTGATGTCGTAGATGAGGACAAGACGGGAAATGTCCATGATTTATATCTTCAAAAAGACCAAGGAACTGAATCAGGCCGGGTCTCTCTCATTCACTTGAGCCCCTCTTTTCCTCGCTCTCCTACTTGCCTCGCATCACAACGAGAGCTGCATCCATCAAGGTACCTCTCTAGCTTTGCCCGCTAGTCTGGCGGCCCCGAGTGTCGATGAGGAGAGGAGGAGCCAAAGGGCGAAGGGCGAGACAACAGAGACAGCGGGGTACGGGGTGTTTCCTGCCAGGGTCAATCCGATCGTCTACATGAAGCATCAACCAATCGATTCTTGTTGTTGCTCGCTATGTCACACCGTGGGGAATGCCACATCGGGATACTAGTTCATGGGGTTGAGTGGGATACCGACTTTGAGATGGCGCGGGACATATTTCGGAATTGTTCGTCTGAGCGGGAACCTTGGCTTCAACCTGCTACTCGTCCGCCACTCTCGGCACAGCTCGAAGCAACATTTGGACACAGTTAGACAGCACAGGTACCCACGCCCACACAAGAATGCCCGGTGTGTGTTTAGCCGGAGGAGTCTTTTAGACAGCGTGACAATTACCTGAAGTGATGATGTTGCTCCCGGATATGTGGAGGGGGTGAGCAAATACTGTTGGAGCAACAGTATGTACTGCTTTTGTTGTGTTGTACGTAAGATATTCCTCAATATCTGCCCGTCTTCAGCTTCCCCTCCCGCTCACACCTTACAAGAAAAGCTTGCCAGGTCACCGGTCTCATTGATCACCTACACTACGCCCGTCGCATTTCCTCCAGTGGTGGCATCATGGCATCTTGGACTTCCTGACTGTTTGCTAACACGTATGCCTTTCTTCATCTGTCAACCACGCGGGGCTCCACAGGGGTGTAGATCCCGAGTTTTGAGAAGGGCAAAGATGGTGTGGTGTACATGCAGTAAGGCCGTTTGCTCCTCCTCGTAAGGAGGCTCCGGACACGGCGGCGTGCGGGGCCGCTGTACCGAATCCTGAATGGTTTGCGTTGCTTGCGGCTTCTTTCGGGTTCGGTACATGTTGTTGTTGGGGGTGTTGATGGTTTCGCAGGCAGGTTTGCTATCGATGTCGTGTTGGGTTGTTCGGTGATGGTTCGGCATCCCCCCCCCCATGACCCCCCGGGCCCCTGGTTTGATGTGTGCGGTACGGTCTGGAGCGGGGTAGAGGCCACCGCGTCAGCTGGCCTTGTTCCCGCCCGCCGCTTGCCTCCGCCCCTGACGTTCCTTGACTTGGCAACCTGTTGATTTGGCAAGAGCTGGGCAATAACATGTTTGCTATCTTGTCTCTGCCGGTTTTGGTAAGGAATCTGTTAGCAAGACATGTGGGAATCGGACTGAGGGTCGCCTCATGAGTTCCTCAAACACCATGGTTCCCGAAAATGAGGAAAATGGATGTCAATGCACCCGTTACGTGGGTGTGTCTATGGAAAATCAGATAGCCCGTCAAAACCGCCTCCTCATGCCTGACTTTCCATCATCGCCCCAAAGTCGTTGTCCATAGCAAATTCACACCGAGTTTTCTCAATAAGTCTTGTCTACAACTAAGTCGATGCCCTCTGCCTACCAACTCATCATCATGCTCTCACCATGTAGGTAGTCTAGTGTAAAAGATATCCCGAACTACAACGTCTGCCAAATCCTCCGCCAAGGTCTCGAACAAGCCATCTTCGGTTGATGTCCCGACACCAAAAGAGAAGGTTGGTTGTTTGTCTTCCTTGCTTTCTCAGTGTTCCCTGCAACACTGGAAAGGTCGGAAGCATGTGGAGTTTCCAATTGTTCCCCTGCGTAAGACTACTGCTCCCACACGGACCACATTCCGTGATCGCTCCGAGAAGACGACAACGACCAGGGAACGAACGTTTCGTGTCTCGCCTGCGCTCGCTGTTGGGTAAAAGCTTGAAACATACACACTACTGCGTACCGCTTTTTCTCACGCGATTTATTTCTATTACTGGACCGCGACCCGCATCAACTCACCAGGTACATAGTAGTATGTATGTACGGGGAGGGACATCGTGCCATCCAGTCGCTTTTCGGAGACCGTTAGACGCCACAGAGCGTGGGTATGTCGGTGTTCGGGTTTGGTCGTCATCCTTGCCTTCCGTGTTTGCGATATGCATCACTGGTCTAGATTCAGAGAATAGTGTCACAGGAGGGGAGGCGGTTTACCTGTGACGCCCCTTGATGATCGGGTTAGAGGTGTTAGAGGAGGACGAGTGACCTGACCATTCTGCGGTGTCTTTGTCGGTATTCGGGTTTGCTTGCTTACTCGGGCAGGAAGGATAGCTCGGAGCCTCAGGCAAATCAAAGTCGTACCATCCGATCCGGATCAACGCTGGGCAACAACGCCAGGGACCCTGTTACCTTAGACAGGAGACTCGGCAGAAAGGGTCTGAGGTTTCCTTGATGTTCAGGGCTGAAGGATTGACGTTGATAAGTACGGAGGAATGACCCATCTGTCCGGAATGGTACCTCGTACCTTGCATGTTGACTATTTCGCCAAGCACAACGGCAGACATGGTTTCGTTGCTTCTGATTATGACTGATCAACTTGGAAAGGACTTTGTGTTGAACTATGTGGCAGGAGAAGGGTATACCTCTTGGGAACAGCAATCATCCGTCTCACCCATATAGCCATGTTCATTGCTATAGGTAGACCGTGGACTCTGGTTCCGTCTATCAATGGCCAACGCCATGCTATGTTTCAATCCCTTACACCAATTCCAACCCATCTTACACCCAAAACAGACAGGGAAAACTTCTACATGGAATAATAATCTACTCATCTATCCTCACTCATCTCCTCATATACCTAAATATTCCATCACAGTCAGCGAATTAACACCATCATGTCCATGAACAAACACTTCCCTCCTCCCCTCTAATAAACCACAGCCAACCAACAAAAAAGCAAAGCGCTTAATCAAGAAGGCTACGATACCCTTGATTTCCATGAGCCTGACCACCAGTCAAGCTCCTCCCATTCTCATAAGGCGGCGGGGGCTCCTGCTGTCCCTGTTGTCCTCGAACAGCCACAGACGAGAGACTAGAATGCGCCGTATGAAAGGGATTTCCAGCTATGCTTCCCAGGACACCGGTTCCCTGCTGTGGGGGAGGTGGTGGTGCCGGAAGGCTGTTGCGCACCGAATCTTGAGACTGAGACAGTGACTGAGTCGCCCACATGGCTGTCATCGCCATCATTTTACCGAAGTACTCCTGGATGAAGGACTCGCTGTATTTGAGATTGGTGGTCAGTGTCTGGTTTCTGTAGGAGAATGGATGTGTTGGGAAACTTACGTATAATAACTATGCGCCGAATTATGAGGACTAACAAGGTTATGCGCCAGCTCGTGCGCAATAGTCACCCACCACCAAACCGTCGCCTCGGCTCTGCCCATGCCACCAGCAGCATCGGGCCCGCCAGTCAACTTGGCCAGATGCAGCTGGGAGAAGAACCTGTAGTTGCAGAAGATACTGCCGCTCTTGTTGAACGCAATTGTCGGACCCTGCTCATCATAGTAAATATGGAGTGAGTGGGCGGGTAGGTTGTACACGTTAGCCACGTCCTTAAGGAGTGTCTCGAACTTGCTGATGCCAGCAGTGTTCGAGCCGAGGAACTGGCCAGGGTTGACGGAAACATCCTTGGCGAGGAAGACGCGCATGCCGCCGGGCGCTTCTGCGACAAAGTTCATATTGGTAGCAGGGGTCGAGTCACAGTAGGTGGATTGTTCGGTGATCTCCGTCTGAGTAGGGGGAGCGAAGACACCGGAGGCGTCGTGCGCGCGTGTGGACTTGATGGCGCTAAGCAGATTCTGCTGGACGACTGCAGGCGAGGTCACTCGTCCATCGTTGCTGCCGCCATCAGCATCACCACCACCACCACCACCACCACCACCACCGCTGCCGCTACCACTGCCACCGCTACCGGGTCCTAGTTGCTGAGGTGCGCGAGTACCAGGTTGCTGGGCAGGCGGCCTGTTCGAGTCGTCATCAGCCTCAAGACCGAGTGACTTCTTGATGCCGCTAAAGAAGTCTCCGAACTTCTTGATGGGCTGAGGGGCCGTGTCATGATCGGGAGAATCATCAAAGCCTCCCGGCATCCGAGGCTGGTCGGGCAACCGAGGGGTTTGAGGGGCCCTGGCAACGGCGTTGTCGGCGGTAGCTAACTGTTGCTGTGCCCAATCCTTCTCACGCTCACGGATTCTCTGCTCTTCCGCTTCGAGTGCCTTGCGTCTCTCTTCCTCGGCGATCCGGGCCTCTGCAGCCTTTGCTCTGAGGATGCGGTCAACATTGTAGCCGCGGGCTCGAAGCTCTAGAAGATCCAGCTTGAGGAACGGCTCGATAAAGAAGTAAGCTTGCTGGCCATGGCGGCTCAGCAACAAAGTGCAGATAGCCTGTCCAACCTGGTACAGATCCGGACGGCTGTGGGTCGATATGTAAAGAATCCAGTTGCCGTCCCTGTACACAGCGGCCGCAGAACGCTTTTCGGTGTGTTGCTGGTTATATCCCTTGAGTGATCGCCTAAGAGCTAAGGATGTGACAGCTTTGACTTGCAAGTTCTTCTCCAACCACCTGGCATCGTGCTTGATGGAAGACTTCTTGTACTTGGAGTACTCGAACAGGAAAATTTTGGAGCGCTCAATGACAAGCTTGCGCATGATAACCGCAGCATCCTGCTTGTCGGCGGCAGGGCCGATTCTGTGCTCCATAGAGACTTTGCTGCTGATCGCCTCGGACCCCAGCGCAGCGTAAAAGGCCTCAAGAGCATCGTCCTCAGGTGCGAAGAGCAAGGAGTCCTTGAAAAGACGGTAGCAGATGATGTCGTCCAAGATTGTTATTTTCTGAGGCGAAGCGAGCTGGTACTGCTTGATGGGTGCATCATAATCGCCTGAGTCGGGCTCCTCTTTGGTGTTGGAGATGTCGCGGGAGCCGAGAAGCCAAGCAGATGAAGTCATCTTCTTGAACAACTCCTTGTCTCTCTTAAGAGTAGCAATCTCATCCGCCAGAGACCGGAGGAGATTAAGGTACTTCTCTGAGCTCTGTAAGGTGCTCAAAAGTCTCGCCGGTTCGCTACATGCCATGAGGGCAATCTCGGGCTTGGTTGGCTCTTCCTTCGCACCGCATTTAAAGAGAAACACGTTAGCATTAGGACCAAAGTCAACAAAGTCGAAGATATCGCCGTAGGTAGAGGATGTCCCCAAATAACAGTTTGGAGGAGTAATGTAGACCACTTTGGTCTCGCCCTTCTCATCGCCAGAGACTTTTCGTCGTGTCACGGGAATGATGGCTGAACTCCGAAGTTTAGTAACGTGAGATAATCCCAGTTCTGCAATACGAGTCGTAAAATAACCGAATACCCTCACGGCTTCCTGGTGATCCTTAGGTGGACTAGCGATCAGCCTACCAACGCACTCTAAAATACTCGGATCACGCGCAACGCCGAACTTGCTAGCATGATCATGAAGGTCTCGTCGCAAAATGTCGTATCCAAGTATTGCCGCATCTGGGTTCGTGAAGCACGCGGAAGGACGGACAAGCTTCTTCTCGTTCCCTTGGAGCGGCAAGATGGCGTTGTCGATCCTAGACAGGTTGTAAGTTCCGTATTGATTGAGCTGATAGTTATTGATGAAGTACGCCATGGAGTGCTTCCGAGTGTCCGCATCAGGAGAAGCCATCATGTCGATCAGCTCAGGGACTGCCGGATAAGGGCGCAACCCAAGCGAGAAAAGGAAGGCCCCCTCAGGGCTGTTTGCCTTCCAGACGCCTGGCCAATGGAGAGTCGGGAGTTGCAAAAGCCGTAGAGAATCCTTGGGCTCATAGAGTTCAGACAGTTTGTATAGTTTCTCAGTACCTTTTCTAGACTCTGGTCCCCCGGACGAGGTACGGTCTTCGGCAGGGCAGAGTTTGGACTGCTTTAGCCTCTTCATATCCTCAGCCGGGATATCGTTCTTTACCGAAGCAAGGTATTTGATGAGCTCGACATGACTCCATTTCTTGGCCTCCGCTTCTCCCTCAGCGGCAGGTGCAGGATTGAGAAGCCTGGTGAAAATGGTCTCCAAGTCAAGAGTCTTGCGAACTCCCAAAGCCACCAAAAACTTTTCTTTGAGTCTGTCGCAGCCTTCGATGGTCGGAAGGTCGTGGAAAAGCTTGACACTGGAGAAGAAAGATTCCTTGGGCTTGCGCATGCCCAACTTTGTGGGGATCACGGGCAGGTGTTCCAAGGCCGACACCACGGATGACTTATCGCTAGGACTCAAATTGTCCCAGTTCTTTGAAAGAACCGAAAGAACTTGTACAGAGAACTTGCTGGACTTTGTAAGATTATGCTCCTCATCCTTGCTGGACCCAGATGCGATCAAGAACCTAAGCCAAGGGACGATACCTAGAGGCTCCCAGCCAATCGACTGCAACTGGACTTCGGGGATATCGGCAGTAAAAGCGACAGGAATGGTGGTTGGGGGAATAGGCAGCGTGGCTGGTATCCTGTTGTTGAGATAATTCTTGATGGAGCCCAAGGCAATAATCTCACCACCATTCCCATCATCAGAAACTGTAGCCACAGCAACATCGAGAACATGCTGGATATGGTGGTATTTGAGTTCACCCGATGCGGCAGTCTTGGCTAACCACACCACAAAATGGTGAAGCTGATGTTTGTCCATGGCCTTCGAGCCCAGCTCCTTGACAACATCGTCGACAGTGATGTGCTCGAGCAGCCCATAATCTATCAGTTTTTGAATGAACTGGGCAGCTTGCATGTCCTTCAGGATAATCGGGATTCCGCTCAGGAACTTTGCGTAATCCTCAGAGAACAGCCGGACCTTGTTCGTCTGCAACACACCCTGAGAAGAGTAGACTTCGATAGAAGCCTTCCGGTAAGAGGTCCAGAAGGCCTCCTCGATGATCTTCGCTACCTGGGCGCTTGGAGTAGAGTCTTCGAACGAGTAGGTCTTGAGGATATGGAGAGCCTCCGGCACAAATTTCTGGACATCCTCAAGAGCAAAACCGGATTCCTTTTTGTTGTTCTTGGAACTGGACAACCTCTTCAGCTTCTCGTTTAGATCCGACATGTCATTGACAAATGCGAGTCGCGAAATGATGCCTGCCACACGAAGCATTTCGATGTTCCAGGTTCGTACCCAGCGAGCATTCAAGTCGATGGCTTCGCGCTCCACAGTCGGGATGACTGACGGCGCAGAAATGTGCATGCCGGCACCAGTGGTCTGGGTAGTCGGGAAACCGATGAAGACGCGTCCACCAGGCTTCTTGCTGGGTAACACGGAGGAGAAGATATCGATGGCCTTGGCAGCCTTATTGGAAGCAACGGACTCCTCTGAGGCGACGGTTTCATCGTACGAAGAAGTTAGAAGGGCGATCCGAGTGGTTTTCGGAGGAGGCTTTTTTGTCGCACGCTCCAATTCAGCTGCAAATGAAGAAGAGACGCTGGTGGCTATTTGGGCCGCAGTGATGCGGAGGAAGATGGTCGAGGTGGAAACAGCAGTGAGATCCTCGGCGATTGCTTCCTGTATTTCCTTTTCTTCCTTTGCCGCCTTTGTGCGCTGTGCCGTCTGAGCAGCGGAGGAAGTAAATCTGGAAAAGAATCCCTTCAAACCAGAGGGCTCTGGGGTGTATGCAGATTCGGTCGACTTGTTTGACGACGACGCGGGCTTAGGCTTCCAGCCTAGCACACTCATAAAGCTGGCATCTATCTGCGTGCTGGTTTGTTCAGCTGCTGTGAGCTTCATGAGGCCATCCTTGGTTCTAGTTTCGAGGTCTCGTGGAATAGGAATCTGAGCACTAGGTGATGACTTCTTCTGCAGGGCGAGAACTCTCCAATCGTCGATCCAGAACTCAATCTTCTGCAAGGATACAAAGGTCAAACTGGTCCCAAGGAACTGACTGACAGACAGTAAGTTAGGCAAAGGCGTTGTTGTGTTGCGGTAATCGAGGACAAAAGCGGTTTCGCGACTATGCTGTTCAACCGGAAGTTGTAGCTTCCTAGTGAATAGAGCGTTTCCCTTCCAGTAGAACGCCATGGCTTCCTTTCCTGAGCTGACGAATGGCTCCTCGCAGTCAGCAAAGACGCTGTAGAAGCCAACGCCAAAAGCACCAATCTTGGTCTCATCCGGGTTGCCCTCAGCTATCCTCTTCAAGCGGGCCCAATCTGTGTTGGCAAAGGGCTGGCCATCGTTCTGCACTAATAGGCGACGGAGAGTGTGATGTGTGAGGGTGTGCTTGAGAAGCTCTGAGGGGTCGGTGGTCTGCGGAGCCGGAACACTGACGGAAGGTATCGTCTCCCATTTGATCTTGACCGTGGTTGCCTGGGCATCGGCGGCGTTCTGGATGAGTTCTCTGAGCGTTGTCCATTCTCCAGAGTATCTGGCCAGGACCTTGTCGATCAGGGCCCTGGTATCGACGGTGACTGCTTCTTCATCCTCGCCGTTCTGCAAAGCAGCGGCGCGAAGCTGCGAATAGTCCATGGTCTGAACTAAGGTGAAGAGTCCAGCCGGGTCATGCGCAGTGGCAGTTGGCTGGGCGAGTGGTATGTCGTGGTTTATTGTCGACTACCGTCCACTGAGCTGAGGAACTACGTTATACGATTGATGAGTCCTATGATGAACCGTCTTCCCGGGCGTAGAATCCGCGAGGCGTTATGTGATTTGAGAGTGGTTGTATGTATTAAAGTTGTAGTATAGGACGATGTATTGTGAATGAAGTATGCGACGGGTCGTTGCCGTAAGTAAGGAAAGAAAGTGGAAGTGGCGGATTATCGTTAACCAGGAGAAGAAGTGTCCGGAAGGAAGAAGTTCGATGTATCCGAATGGAAATATAGCAAACTATTCAATGTGTGACCTGAAGACACCAAGCCCAGCCAGAAACAGTTCCGCTGTGAAGTCGTTCGCAAGGTCAAAGGTAGCTGAATGCAATTGTTGATGAACGGTCCAAAAGAGGTTCCTGTGAACGCCTCATCTCATCATCATTCACTAGTGTACACAGAGGTAGCACATATACACTATGTCCAGACCGAGCGGCCTTCCAGCCCCAGGGGTAGTAGGTACCTAGGCACGGCACGCTAGCAGGGTCCTCATTCAGCGCAGTGTATCCCTGAAACTCCACTAAAACAGATCCCCGCCATGCCCGGGCCTACCTTCCAGGCACGGTCCACATCACATGAGCCAAAAGACGGGAGCTTCGAGCAGCGAAAGTAAAAGACGGTAAAAGCATGACACCCGGTGTGGCGACATTCAGTTGCTCACGAACCGTTTCAAATCACCAAAGGGCTAAGCTTAATAATCCATCACACTAGTAGGTGTATCATAGTAGTGCGCCGCTACCAAGACTGATGAATATACTGTACCAGAGATTAATCTATTCTGTTGACCCCAGACACCATGCTTGCATTCATAAGTACATACCTACCAAATACAATTCTGACAATCTCATCGTCGATCATGCCTCGCTCTTCTATCCCTGCTCCTGCTCCGACCAGGACTATGACTGCGCCTTCTGTGGTGGTGGTGGTGTCTTCCACGGTCTCCGCTCCGACTCCGATCCTGATCCCTCGTCCTATCACCGCGGTGTGAACGACGCTCAGGACTCCGGCTTCTGCGACTAGAACGGTGCTCTCTCCCTTCTCGGTCCGCCGGCCCGTCACGTCTCCGGTCACGGCTGCGGCTGCGATGTCTATCCCGATCGCGATGACGTTCCTGATCACGTTCCCTGTCGCGGCCATGACCACGCTCACGCTCACGACTCCTGCTCCTGTGCCCCCGCTTATGATGTCGCTCTGGGTCGCGGTGCCTGTCTCTTCTCGACTCCCCTGCTTGCGCTTCTTTAGGTGCCAGTGCTGTCGATTGCTCCGCGGAACTTTTTTCTGTTCGCTCTGGGATTTTGGATCCTTGGACTTCAACAGCATTGGCGCCGCTGGTATTTCGTGGTGTGATGGGCAGGCCCAATGCGCGGTTGATGGCATCCTCTTCTGCTTCCTTTATCCTGCGGATTTCTTCACGCCGCTCGCGCGCTTCCTTCTCCTCCTCCGTCTCTCCGGCGTTCGCGGCCGAGGGTTCTGCCTTGGCGTACCAGTTGAGATCCCGCCCTTTGGCCCAGCGACCAACTGGAGCCTTCAGACTATGACCGAGATAGTTCTCGCGGTGTGCTGAGTTGGCGACATCGTCCCAGCTGAAGTTGACGCCGCCTCGCGACCCCGACTTGCGGACGGTCGAAAGAAGATCCATGGGAGATTCTATCGCAAATGAGTTTCTTGATAGACTTCGTGATTTTGTATTCTGATTGTATTCGTTCTTTGGTGGCTTGTTTGAGTTGCGTCCCGTCGGCAGTCGGTGGTAAGTTGATGTGTTGAGTGAAGAAGTGTCTGCGTTTGGTTCGTTCTGTCGTTCAATGAATTGCGTATTGTGTAGGTACACTACGCAGAGCTGCAGTCCCCACTCCAGTGTCACTGCGGGATGTGGGGCCCTCCACTGTCACTTTCATTTCCAGGGGACAAGGTCCGCTGAATGCTGCAGCTACATAACGCGGGGGGTACGGTGCCTGCCGGATCTTCCACACCCCACCCACCTAACCTCAAACGTGTTGACGCTATGCTTTAATCTTTATCCAAATAGCATCATAGAGGTAGCTACCACCTAATTTCCATCTTCCAACTGCCATGGCTTCTCGACTTCACTAATTCTAACGAAGACTATTCCCGTTATATTCACGACTTCTTGAACGCCCAACCACAAAACTTGTCACCAAATACGCTCCGTTCTTCCGGGATTTCTCCCCAGGCTTGTCCACAACTTTTCGCGAACCCCTTCGGCATTCTGTACGGCATCAGGCACAATTGGCGGCAGCCTTTGGCACTACAAAGTATAGAACGTATCGACAATGGCATTCGATCCAGCGGCCAACGCCGGGCCTCCTCTCGACGAGATCCAATGGCACACTCCTCCTCAGTTCGAAGCAGGCATCCACTCAAACAGCATCCTCTACTACTTCGCGCAATCGCCATTCTATGACAAGACCTCCAACAATGAGGTCGTTTTCCAACAGGGTCTCAATAACCAGGCCATGTCCCAATATCTCGCCACCCGCGAGCTATTCGAGAGTCGACTGAGGGAAATGTCTGGGCTGGAGTTCATTGTTGCTCAGGAACCCGCTGAGACAGGTCCGGGGATGGGTACAGGTGTGTGGGTGATCAACAAGCAGACGAGGAGGAAGCGCCCACCGACGAACCCTGCGAGGCCTGAGGACGGCCCGCCCGACGAGATCATCGTTCATTCGGTTTACTTTGTGGTGGGCGAGAACATCTACATGGCACCCACACTGGCAGATGTTCTTAGCTCCCGAATCGTATGTCTCTCATTTTCAAAGCGAGCTAGCTCTCTTGCCGTCCGTAATGCTAACTCACGTCCTTGCCATCCAGGGAGCAATCGCCACCGCCATCACCAAGACCATCCCCCTAGTAGACGAAGTATCCGACTGGGCTCCCGCCGTCGGTCGCCGCTACATCACTCCCGCCCAACCATCCGCTGGCGCTGGTGCGGCTAGCGGTACAACCAACTATACCGCCTCGCGAACCGCCACTCCCCTCCCCGATGGTCTTCCCAGTACGGCAACTACCAACAAACCCGGCGCCAAGGCCGGCGGCGGAACCACCACAAATGACCCCCTCCTCGACTCCCTCCTCATGGAAGAAGCCCTCCTCACCCACGAACGCTACGGCACCGAATACATGGACGAGAACCCCATCACCGGCAAGCCGGGCGACTTCCACCTGACCTCGACCGGCCGCAAGACGCAAACCAAGAGCGCGTTGACCCTTAAGGAGGCGGCGGCCGCGCTGCCGGCTTTGAACACGAAGGGCTTGGGAGCCGCGGGAAGTAATCCACTTGCTAAAGGAGCGGCGGCGGCGGCGGCTGCGAATGCGAATGCCGTGACGGGTAAGGAGACCAAGAGCCCGAAGACGCCGGGTGGCGGTGGACCGCCGAAGCCGAAGAGGAGGAAGAGTAAAAATGTCATTACTACCCCCGGTGCGGCTTAGAAGGAGCACAGGGGAGATAAAGCACAAAAGAAGAAGAAGAAGAAGAAGAACATGAAGGGTGCGAGGGAGGGGGCAATTGACATGGGAGGAACTTGACTTGATGAAGAGATGCATTCAGATAAAACGGCGTCGATTGCACATGGTTGGATGGCATTTGGCTTTAGGTACGGCGATTAGATACCCTAGGATGGTGGACAGATTGGTAATGTCCATGATATTAAACATAGCGAGTATTTGTAGCAACGACGAATCAATTTCAGCTCGCCTGATCAATCAGCTGAACGGCACCAAATAGAGACTTTGTGAGGACCACAGATGTACCATAGGTTGAAGGAAGTCAACTCTTACAACGTCCCTTCCCCGTAGGCAAAGAACGAAGCTCACATCATTAAGCCAAAACGAGAACGTCTATGCAGAAAACCAACAATCAAAACACCTTGATTGCTTGGAACCCAGACCTTACTTCTGAAATCCTCATCTATCTAAAACGCCATGAAAAGCCATATTTTCTACTCAACAACCCAACCCTGCCCGGCCACCTTCCTCTGCTTCACCTTCCTAGCCGGCAAGGGCCACCCCATCCCTCCTTGCCCTTCCGCTCTCAGATACGGCACCACCCAAACCTCCCTCTCTTTCCCATCTTTACTCTCTGATCCCTTAACCTCCTTAATCGGCTTTCCGTACGTAATCAGCGGCGTCCCCTTGGCCAAACTCGCCAGCTGCCCCGCCGTCAAGTCCGTCAACGCATGCATCCTCGTCTTGGCCCGCTTCTGCCCGTCCGCGCCCGTGTTGCCTGCCTTTTGCAGATAGGCGTACACAATATAGTCCGGGCATTCGTCCACGCTCAGGTGGGCTAAAGGGGACGAGGGGTGGATGTAGACGAGTTTTTCTTCCAGTTCTAGTTTCCTGCCGTCCTCGCCTTCGAGCGGGATCAGGGGCAGGTAAGGAACGTCGATAGCGCGCTTGGGCTTGCGGTACATCTCGGGCGGCGTGGGGGCCTTGTCAGCGCGGATGGCGACTTGGTCGATGAAGCCTGCGGCAACCATTTGTTTTAGGGCTTGCACCTGTTTTTGCGAGGGCGGGTCGAGCGTGTCGGGCACGGAAAGGTTGGCGAAGGCGGGGATGTTGGTTCTCAACAGGTCGATGAGCTGTTTTTGGAGTTGTTTGATTTCTTTGAGGACCTTGAAGCGAACAAAGTGGGAGTCGCACCAGGATTCCGTGGGGTCGTGCGCGAACTCGCCGACGACTTGGAGGAGCTTGATGGCGTCGGACTTGTCGTCTAGATAGCAGAAATTCTTGTGGACGGCGTTGAAGGCGGCGCGGATCTTGGCGCGGCGGTCGTCGGCAAGGACGTCTTCAGTAGTGCGGAAAGTGACGGCGCGGGAGTCGTCTTCATCGTCGGAACCGCCGACGTCATTCTTCTTGGCTTCTTGGACTGCGGCGGCGGGGATGGCTTGGTTCTCGGGAATGTAGATCTCGCCGGCTGAGAGACCGGCTACGAGCGCAACGGTGTAGGGAAGGCAATCGTGGAGATGTCCGATGAGAAGAATGCGGGCGAACCGAGGAGAGAGCGGGAAGATGGACATGGTAGATCCGATGGGGGTGACTTGGCCAGTTTGGGAGATGGCGTTGAGGTAGGTCAAAAGCTTCTCGGCCTTGATCAAGCTTTCGCGCGGTGGCGGCGTGGGGAAGGGGAAGTTGACGACGTGCTGGAGGTTCATGGACTTGAGCTGGAGCACGACGCCCTCGATGGGCATGCGAAGCAACTCGGGCTCTGAGAACTCGGGGAAGTCTCTTTCGTAAACGGCCGAGGAGTAGAGTCTCCAGCAGTGACCCGGACCGGTACGACCGGCACGACCGGCACGCTGCTTTGCGCTGGCCTTGCTGATCCACCCAATCTCGAAACTCTGGACGCCACTGACAGGATCGTACTTTCTCTCTTTTGACCTTCCAGTGTCGAAAACGTACTTGATGCCGGGAATTGTCAAGGATGTTTCAGCGACGTTGGTAGCCAGGATGACTAGACGGTGGCCCTCTGGGGGCGGCTCAAACACCTTCATCTGCTCTTTCGTGGGGAGCAAAGAGAAGAGAGGTAGGATATGCATCTTCAATGGCCCTGTACCAGATTCTTGGTCCTCAATCTCGAACTCCTTGTCGTCCTCCTCGTCCGACGCAATGGAGATATCGTCATCGTCTCTGTCGTTGATGTTGCGGTCATCCTCAACGTCGCCAAAGTCGATGTCTTCGACTTCCATGGGTGCCTCCTTTGCAGAAATCCGCACCTTGGTGGTGCTGGCGGTGTTCATACCGCCACCAAAACGCGCCTTCAACCGCTTGCTGAGCTGGGCAATTTCACTCTGACCGGTCATGAACACAAGCATGCCACCAGGGGGCAGTTTCCTGTGGCCCCTGCAAATCTTGCGGAATGCCTCATCAACGTAGTCGTGATTTGTCTTTTTGGCAAAATGCATGGTAACAGCATGCTCACGGCCTTCTACCTCAATGATGCGAGGAGTGGTGTGGAACAAGTTAGAGTTTTGGGTGAATTCCTCGACCCTGAGGGTGGCGGACATGATGATCAGCTTGAGAGGCTTGATCGTGGGGTCTTCCTCCGCCAACTCTCTCCTAAGCTTGACCACTCTGCTGAGCATCGCAATCAGGATATCGGTATTGACGCTTCTCTCGTGGGCTTCATCAATGATGATGGCAGAGTACTTGCGAAGAGCAATATCGATGGCCGCCTCACGAAGCAAGACACCATCCGTCATGAACTTGATGGCCGTCTTGGAGTCAACGGTGCCTTCGAATCTGATTTGGTAGGAAACCACATGTGAATAGTCTCCCATTTCTTCGCCAACACGCTTCGACATACTGACAGCAGCGACACGTCTCGGCTGGGTAACACCAATCATGCCAGGAGTAGGTCCATCCGGAACACCGTAACCGGACTCGAAGAGGAACTGGGGAACCTGCGTGGTCTTGCCGGAACCGGTGGCACCGCAAATGATGACAATGTCGTTGTCGTGAATGGCCTCCATAATCTTCTGTTCTTCGGCAACAACCGGTAACCTGAATCGGGTTTCCTGGATCTCGGGTGTCCTGGTAACTACCACGGCGAAAGCCTTGCGGGAATCGTTCTTTGTTGGTTGCAGCTCGATAGGCAGAGGCTCTTGTTCGATCGGCCGAGGCGTAAAGTTGGCAGGTTTCGGTATCTCGAGAATGCTTGATTCGGCAGGCTTGTAACCCAAAGCTTCGTTCCTCGCCTGATGCGCCCAAGCCTTGAAGGCCGAAGACTTTGCTTTCTTGTCCTCCTCGGCGTCCTCCATGTCCTCGTCGGATTCTTCCGCAGAATCATCGTCTTCTGATTCATCTTCGGAACCCTCTTCGTCCTCTTCAGATCCATCCTCTTCTCCCGATTCCTCCTCCTCCTCACCCTCCTCCTCCTCTTCACTGCCTTCTTCCTCGCCGCCTGAGCCACTACCCTCGGACTCTTCATCGTCTGAACCCTCTTCGCCCTCCGAACTGAAACCGTCCCATTCTACCACTTCCGGCACAGGAATGACTGCGGGAGCTTGCGATGATGTAAAGTTGTGCTTCGTTTTCACACCTCCTCTCTTTTGTCTCTTGGCAAGTATTGGACGTCCTGACTCGTCGACCTCTAACGGGCGCTTGAGACCAGCACCGACTGGTACTGGCAGGCTTGTTGACGTTGTCGTCGCTTGTACTGGTGTAGGCTCGCTTGTTTCCGCTGGCGCGCTCTTTGGCTTCTCGGCTGCCGAGTCCTGCTCATCTTCCGAGCCCTCTGAATCCTCGTCGACCGTGGGTTTAGGCTTTGGTACTGGTGCACCTTCCTTCACCTCTCGCTTTTCGTAAAGTTTCTTGGCCGCCTCCTTCTCTGTTATAAGTCCAGCTTTTGCTTCCTTGACAAGCCGGCTGAGCTCCTCCTTTTTGGTCAATCTAGTCTGGCCTAGTGACTTTGTGCTTGAGAATAGGGAGGTGTCGATCTTGTTGGCGGCAAGCTTGGCCAGGAGTTCGCGGTTCTCGTCCTTCTTGAGCTTTGTGTCGATGTACTTTTCGAGTCTCTTGGCCTTCTTGCTGCTGACCTTGACACCCGCAGGCCTCAATTCCTCCCGTAGCTCGGTCTTCTTCTTTTCGGCATCCGTGGTGGTTTCCTGTCCGGGAGCGATCTCGAGGACGTTGGTGTCTTCGGGGTCTTGTGTTCCCTTACTCCTCGACCGCTGGCGATCAAGCTGCTTGCGCTTGCGCTGACGCGGCACGAACTTCCCGCCTATGGCAACCATGTTGTTGTTTTGTTGGGTGTGCTCGGAGCGAGCAGTGACGGCAGAAATGAGGGCCGGTGTCGCGACGGCAGAATGCAACGAACTGAATGTCACCAAGTACCCTGAAGATTTGAAGATTAAATCTTGTCCGCCTGGCAGAATTTCTGCGCTAAATGTGGCACCCCACGTTTTGGGGGCCTGTGAGGGTCCAGGACAGTAAGTGTAACTGAAGTAACCCAGCTACAGTGCGCGTACAGTTTGCTATGTTTCGCGGGTCCATCCTGAACCTCTGCAGCCCAGCCCACTCCGGCTCCATCAACAAACATCACGATGGAGTCCCGGGTCTAAACTCTGAATATGTAGACATACAGAGAGTACTATCCTACCAGAAGTACAGAAGCCGAAGTTATCCCCCCTACGGTCTTATCCTTTATGTATGACACACGCAGTTTTTCCAGTCTTGCAACTGTCCATACTTCACCACGTCCAGAACTCACCATGTCTGAGGACGCAATCAGGCAAGAGCCGTTCCCGTCACCTTCCAGGCAGGCAACTGGGCTTGTCAACGGAATAGAAACTGAGGTTTCATCAATGAACTTCTCGGACAAGATCATGGTCACCATTTCTCAAGGTGGGCGTCTTGCTCAGTGGGTAGGTTCAAGAGCGCCCCAACGCCATCCCACTTGCAATCTACTGACATACCATGTTTTAGGTCCAAGTACAACTAGCCGCACCTTCTTCAGCGTCGGTAGACATGGCTCTTCCTGGCGCCGGTAGCCTGTTACCATCAGAACATTTAACAGCAACGACTCTTCTTGGAGGTGGAAATGCGGAGAGGGAGACCATGGGCCAGCTTTATGCCAGTCAAATTGCCAGTCTCCTGACTTTGCGCAATCCCAATGAGCAGCGGTCTTTGTTGCTTGGTTTGGGCCTGGAGAAGGTCGACACCACTACTAGTGACTCCTTCTATGACGTGGTGGAGTTGGTACAACAAGTCCTCTAATGATAATGTCATGGAGCGAACCGTATCTCGGAGTAACAAGTTCGAACTCGAGCTATCGCGGTGAGAAGTTCTGGTGAAGCGGGGAGTAGGAACCGAATGTGTGGTTATCGGGAATGAGCATGTTCGCAACTCAGTGGATGTGGTCAACTGAGAGTATGTAAGTGAGGGCTGGTTTGTCTTGAGGCGGGTTCTGGGAAGACAGGGAAACAATGGCTGGGCTGTTGACCAGTTTAATCCTGCAGGTGTAGAACACAGAACAATGGAGGGCAGTGAGCCCGATCTTTCAGCAACACAAAAGATGTGTGTCAAACAAAAAGCGACTCCAGACAGATCGACAATTTTCGAGCAAGCATCCAACAGGATGATAGGATGATGTTGAAGGTAAGAGGGGCTCAAGTGGACGAGCTGAGCGACAAGGCTTGACCATAGACCCTAACCCTGTTGAATGGAGCGGGAATATGTGGCTTGTGGAACTGGCAGGCTGGCCTTGGCACACAGCAATTGCTAAGGAACGGTGTGGCTTGCGTGCGTGGTGCGGCTCAAGCCCGGAGCTTGGACCACCACTTGTGCCCACCAAAAAAAATACACAGCCCTAAATTTGACTTGTACGAGACCCGTGAAGCGTCTCTTAGAAGCATCAACCGACGTCGACAGAACGAGCTTCATCGGCACCACCAGCAGACAACATGGTATGGCAATTGCTGCACGACCATCGCAGGACGAAACGCTGATTCAGTCATTATGTAGCCTACTCGGTTTTCCAAGACAAGAAAGCACCGCGGACATGTAAGCGCCCCCTCGAACTTTGTCGTCGCCGATTCGACAGATGACTGACTGTAGTGATTTTATAGGTTTCCGCCGGTAAGGGGTATGTCGCCAACCGATCGACTGACCGATAAACACGAACAAGTATTGACAGCATTATTCCAGCCGTGTCGGCAAGCACAGAAAGCATCCAGGGTACGTACCGCCGCTTCTGCAGATTCGAAGTGGGAAAACCATGATGCTAACAATGGGAACAGTGGTCGTGGTATGGCCGGTGGTCAGGTATGCCGATAGAAACTCCAACGACTCGATCTCGAAAACACGCGATACTAACCCGACGATAAGCACCACCACCGTACCAACCTCGATAAGTGTACGCAACCCCGAAAATCAACGGTCGGCGCATGTTGGAGGGCGCATGGTTCAACCTCACTTCTCCGACATGCGACCAGGCCTTGCCCCTCGATATAATGAAAATAAACGCTGACGATGACGGATAGACCACCCTGGTTACTTCGGTAAGGTCGGTATGAGGCACTTCCACCTCCTCCGCAACCACCAGTGGGCCCCCATCCTCAACATTGAGAAGCTCTGGACTCTTGTCCCCGCTGAGGCCCGCGAGAAGTACGTCTCTGGTGCCGCCACCGAGACTGCTCCCGTCATCGACCTCCTCTCCCACGGCTATGCCAAGCTCCTCGGCAAGGGTAAGAACAAGCAATTGGAATGAAACACCCCCGAGAATGCTCGTCTAACAACCTATTCTAGGCCGTCTCCCCCAGGTCCCCATCGTCGTCCGTGCCCGCTACGTCTCCGCCGAGGCTGAGCGCAAGATCAAGGAGGCCGGTGGTGTCATTGAGCTCGTTGCTTAAATTCTGAATGCGGCATGATATATTCAAGGACTGGCGATTTGGCATTACGGTACGAGGGAAACCGGAAACGAACCCGATGGTCATGGATCGAACAGTCGGACAGACGAACAACGACAAGATTCGGTCCCGGAGTCCTGGATGGGTCAGAGGTGGTTGAAAATCTCAGCGCCTCGTCTGCAGCATTTAGGGAAATGGCAGTTCATTTGCATCGCAACATTGGGTCCGGGATTTCGTTCACAACCGTGCCATGCTGCAGACTGGCGAACTCGGGTGGTCCCGAGAGGGTAACCCGGGCCGCGGCTGCGTCGCAAACTGCTGATTCAGGGGCAAGTAACGAATAAATGAAGGCCTATGCCCGACGGTCGGTTGATCTCATCTTTGAGCATTTCCTTGGCCATTGTGAAGTTGAACATCCGTCTAGAAGCCCACTTCCAGCAGGTTGGATTTGTTTGACCTGTCGTCATGTCATGAGATCCCCAGTGTGAGGCCGTTATATGCCTTTGTTAGTTATTATCGGTCTGTGATGTTATCCGGCCATAATTCGGACAAGTCCGCATGATGTAAGTCGCATTGTTGCACTTGAACCAATACATGTTGAGAATCATGAACCAAAACACACTAGCACCAGCCTCTGTTGACGTCCGCTTTCCCCGCTTCATACTACTTGAGAACAGTTTCCCCTCTTGATAATCACCTCATCCCGACACATCTCATCCCTCGATAAAGTTGTCCGCCATGGCTGGAAATTCAGCAGCGATCAAGCTGAATGAAAATGGGATTCCAGACTTCGACGCACTCCCACTTCGAAAGGGTGATCCCAAGTACTCCGCCTGGGGTTTATATGGAGATGAAGACGAGTTGGGAACTCTGAACAGGCTTACCGATGAGCGAGTTGCCGAAGCAGCAAAGAATGAGATCAAGACTGGTTTGAGGTGCGATTCATTCTTCAACCTTTTGATTCACTCCTTCGACCTCCTCATCATCTAACCGCCATCAACCGACCATCAGAATCTCCCTAAATTGGCCACTCAACGCCCAAAAAGACTCGGGCTTCTTCAACCGCAAGCTCTTCCACCAAGACCTCTTCGCCAAACCGCCGCGGTGCGTCAACGACGACATTTGGACCTTCAACACGCAGGTGTCCAGTCAGTGGGATGGGTTGAGACACTATGCTTATCAGAAAGAAAAGAAGTTCTACAATGGAGTGACGATGGAAGATATTCATGCGGAGGGGAGTGAGGTTAATGGGATACAGGGTGAGTGGTGTGTTTTTTTTTTTTCTTTTTCGTCATCTTTTTCAACGTAGTAGTTAGTCTATGAGTTTGGTGTCAGGTCATGTATGCATGGATGGTGACGATGACGACAAAGCAGGTTTTTGGCGACGACAAGGACGAGATAAAATGAGAGAGAGAGAAAGAGGAGAGAGGGTGTGATGCTAACATGAAAAACAGCATGGGCACAAAAAGGCATAGTAGGCCGTGGCATCCTCGTCGACCACCACTCCTGGCGTCTGGAGCAGATTATTAGTAAGAAGCCGAACCCGGATCCGAGACTGGTCAACTTTGACCACTTTGCTACCACGCCCATTCCTCTCGAGGATATACACGCTTGTTTAGAAAGTCAGGGAACAGAGATCAAGTTTGGCGATATTCTGTTTATTCGGTCTGGTAAGTGTTCTTCTAGGTTGCCTGCCCCGTTGCCTTTTGTTTCCCGCCATGTCATCATCCACCATCTTCTTATTTCCCTTCCTTCCTCATCCTCTCCTCCCTCCCCCTTTCCCTCTTTAGTCACTTTCCTTTGTCTCGCCTTCTATCTACCTACTAACTCTCTCTCTCTCTCTCTCAAAAAAAAAGGCTGGATCCAAACCCACCAAACCCTCTCCTCCACCTCCCCCTCCCTCCTCTCCTCCCATCAATCCCATAACCCCCCTTCTTTTTGCGGTCTGGAACCCTCTGTCCCGCTCTTCCGATTCCTCTGGTCCAACTTCTCCGCCGTAGCAGGCGACCAGCCTTCTCTCGAGTGTTGGCCTCCTCTCGCCACCCGTGACCCCGTGAACTATGGGGATGAGTTGAGTCTGCACGAAGTGATGCTAGCGGGGTGGGGGATGCCGATCGGCGAGCTATTCGATCTTGAGGAGTTGGCGAGGGAATGTAGAGACAGAAAGAGGTGGAGTTTTTTTGTTGTGAGCGAGGTGTGCAATGTGAAGGGTGGGGTTGCTAGGTAAGCAGCTCATTTGTTTTGTTTTCCTGACTCTCTGCGGAAGCGCGAGATGATGAGTGTTTTACTAATAGATCGGGTTGTTTAGCCCTCCTAACGCTTTGGCGATCTTTTGAGGATGAGGTCTTGAATGGTCTATGGTGGATATTATGCCGGGTTTCTATGGGGATATTTTCATCGCTGGGAATGCTTTACGGGGAGGCAAAAAGGACTTGGATTGAGTGTTCTGCTCTGGGTATAACGGCATAATCCGAGAATGCGAAACACTCGTAAGCGTCTTGCTCGACTATTTGGTTGTGAAGCAAGTCATAGGAATGATCATGACTTAGCTGTGCTCCTTCACAGCTAATTTGAATTCTTATCTTCCTGGGAGGCTACCAGATGATTCCAAGAAGCATCCATCATGAGAGCGTGTTCACCATTTACCAGTACGTAGATAAGTATCTAGTCAGTCGCTGAGGTATGTAAACTCGCTAAACGCACTAGCAAAATCCTTCTCAGTAGAGAGGAGAGCATCCGTTTGATACTCATTCGTATTTCCATCCCCCGCCAACATGTAGGGAAGAAAGTAGATGGCTACAATCAGTCGAGCCCTGAATGTGACACCGTTCAATAACACGTCTTCGTTCAGTCACGCCGTGTCCCTCTTTCCTTTACTCCCACAGAACTCCTATGAAACCCTCGCTCAATTCCCTGACGTAGTTCCGTATCCTGACGCCATTTAAGAACTATACCCTCAGAAAACCAGAAAAAATTAGCATCCTTTGAATCGATTGGCGTGGTGATTACGATCGCTTGCGGTCACTCAACGTTAAACCGACCAAGTCAGCATCTGATACCTTCGGATATATACGACAGGCCAGACGCAAGAAGAAGTGCTAAAGGAGGGGGGTTGTAAACTTACGTGCTGAGCCTCCTGGAGAGGGTCTGCAACTTCTTATCGTTGTCAGCCTCTCTTGTCGCCCGCTCCAAGGCCTGGGCGCGCTCCTCGTCCTGCATCTTAACAACCTCGTCGTGGCTCGGCGGAAGCCTCTCGTTCTGCAAATCAACCTTTCTGGCATCCTCGAAACTGCTAATGGCGTTCTTGATACCCTCGGCACCCAACATAAGAGTACCGGCGGGAAGACGACCACCAGAAACGGTCTTGAGTTCCGTAACCCGCTCGGACTCCTCTCTGAGGACCTGGAAGACACGCGACAGACGACCGATAGCAAGGATCTTGTTCTTGATCGCCCGTCTCTTGAACTCAATAGAGTCGGGATCTTGATTAGCCGCAGACGGGAGGGCCGGGGAGGCTGAACCGGGCGAAGTTGTCGCGGAATCCTCCCTGAGTTCCTCCTCCGAGCAGGTGCTGAGAATGGCGATGAGCATATCGGTAATCTTCTCGCCGACGAAGGGAAGCGACCAGGTGAAAACGTCCATAAAGTTGGGGAGCCAATAGGGATGAGGCGTGCAGTTAAACTGTCGGATGTTCATGACGTTGTTTTCGTACTTTAACACCGCAGCCTTGTTGTTGTAAACGTCGAGATAGTTGGGCGCGGAAAAAATGGTCATGACACTGGGGAATCCGGTTGTCCTGGTCTTGCGGTACATGCGGTAGCCTGCATCCTGAGCCTCGTGCGCGCGAATGATGGAGAGAAGGTTGTTCTTCTCCAAGAAGTGGCAAGCAGCAGAATAGGAGAAGAAATAAGAGCAACCTCGTACGTGGTTATGTACGAAGAAGTCAGTCGTCTTCTCTTGACCAAAGTCCTCTAGGGGATCGGCCCACAGGATGTCACACATGAGACCTTGTGTGGGGGGCTCGCGGAAACGGTCAATCTGCATAAAAGTCACCGGGTTAGTATGCCCATACCATAACGTGGCAGTCAAGTGGCTGTTAGACTAACGTTTCGGATGTCGTCGAGAGTGTGGAGCTCGGGGCTCAAACCGCCGTGAATGCAGAGGAACTGCTTGTTCATGACTGCCGCCAGCGGCAGACAACAGAACGACTCCATGCATGCCTCGTAGATGGCCTCCGAGTACTTGTGCTTGCACTCGAGCTTGAAGGTGAAGTAGTCGGTCAAATGCCGGCACTCGTGGTTTCCGCGCAGCAGCCAGAGTGTCTTGGGGTAGTGGATCTTGAGCGCCCAGAGATACAAGACACACTCGATACTGAAGTAACCACGATCGACGTAGTCGCCCAGGAAGAGATACCTGGTCTCGGCCGGGTCACCACCGACCTCGAAGAGCTTCATTAAATCGTAGTATTGGCCGTGGACATCACCGCAAACGGTAATGGGAGCGTCCATCTCCAGCAGATTGGGCTCGGCGCGCAGAAGCTTGGTACCCTCCCTGATGATCCATAGTGCTTGCTCCTCGGTCAAACGGCCCTCACGGTAAAAATGTTGCTTCAGAAACTGGATGTCGGGCTTGGTGTGGGTTTCGTCCTCGAAAAATTGCTCGTCGCTGGGCTTGAACATGGCAGGCGCCTGAACATCTGGAAAAGAAGGCCAAGACGGTGCCTGTTAGAACTTGCGGTACAGAGAGAAAAGGGGGGAAAGGCCAAGGTGCCCAGTAGTGGTCACAGGATCGCAACGAACGACAGTCATGATCTGACAGCTTTAGGCGGTGGCGTTGAGGAGGAAAGGAAACCTACCTTTGCAGACACGCTCCATGGTGCTCACTTGGGAGCCATCCTCCATGGTGTGAATGGTGAAGTCGATCTCGGGCAATGGCCTCTTGTGCTGGATGGCGCGAATGGCATTGTCAACCTGCTGGGTGTGGAAGGCGCCGGGCGCGCCGGTACCATTGTTGCTTTCCATGTCTCTGGTAATCACGGACAATAACGAGCAATGGCGGCAGCAAACAAGAGACTGAGCAGTCGAGAGAGTCTCCAAGTATGTGACAAGGTGGGAGGTGTTGGGCAGGGTTCGTTAGTATAGAATCCCTAGAGTCGGTCGCCGGACTTGTGCGATGAATGTGGTCGCAAAGGGCGAAATGGTCGAGTTTGAGGGGAGGAAGGCGGTTGTCGAGGAGGAAGAGCGAACAATGTAAGGTTGCGAGCCAAAATGTAGGGCTGAAGGAGGAGGGAGTTGGGCGGCCGGCCGAGGAGTTGAAGGAGGCGACTTCCAGTCAGTTTTAGGTCCGCGGTGGACTGAAGTGGCAGCCAGCATGCACCAGCACTGGACAGCGGGCGGCGAGTGGTTCACCAGCAGTGAATGGATGGCACCCAGGGTGCAGCAAGCAGCGGCCGGGCAAAGCTGGGGTCCGGGTGGGATGAGGGGTACAACCTGGTGGTTGCCTTCAGTTTGTTTCACCCGTTGAACCACGGACAACCTGAAAAGTAACCTAGGTAAACTCCTTTTATTTATTTTTTTGGCGGGTTAGACGTAAGAATGCTATGGCCGTTGCGCGTTACACCTACTCCAATATTTACAAAAGATGAACGAGGGGATTGCGTTGAATGGTATAGTATAGAGTGAGCAGGTGTGTGAAAAATGTGCCGTTTTCGGCTCGTATTTCTCGACAAAGTCTTTGAGGCTGATGCTATTTACAGTATCAACAATTTACCGTGGAATCCATAACAGAAGGTAAGGTACCCGGAGCGGGCACGTTTTAGGGGTTCTGGTTAAGCTTGCCGAAACACCTGCAACCAGGAGAGGGAACAGCGAGGCAAGGAAGCCCAGGCACAGGTCCACAGGGGCTCTCTCTCCCATCTGATATCAATGGCAACGAACGAACTGAACGTATCAATCCGTTGCAGCGGTACGCCAACGGATCCCAGCCCAGCCTCGATGCGAAAATGCGCCTCGGGCTCACAACTAACGAACTGTGTCTGGCGATGTGCGTTCCCATGCGGCAAGTCTTGAACGAACATCATATTACTCTTGGCCTCCTCTTGTGTTTCCTTCGCCCAAATCGAATGCCTGGGATGATTTCTCCTCCAAAGCTGTGCGCCGTGAAATTGCTGCCAGACGTTGTGAGGCTCCAAGTGTCAGAAAGAGGGTCTAGACCCGGCAAGGCCCTTTTTCAGAGGCCGCCAGGGACTACTAGTGTTCTACGTACTATGGTAGGGGACAGGTCCAAAACTCACGTTGGAACTGAACTCTGACCGCCCAAGCAGAGCGCCCCTCACCGCCAGGTTGGCGGGCCGCGGCCACTTTCGTCGTCATTGAAAACCCCACTCAGCTGCCCAACAGCTGGCGATAGATACACCGAAGCTGAGTTCCGAGGAGGCAGAGTTCAAGGCTCCCTCGGGGGGGCCTACACACCCATTCACAGCTCCTTCCCAGGTGTCCTCCAATGGAAGGACATCATCACGGAAACATAGACTATGCAATATATCGCGTACAGGAAGCCTTGCTGGCGACAGCCTGGTATCGACAACGAGTATTAAATATTCATAGAGCTAATCTATCCAAATCATTATTCATATAGCAGTCATAGAGGTACCTAACGCCTCTGGGGCCTTTAGGGGGCACAATATCCGCCATCAACCAAAAGGTCTGCGCCAGTCGTATAAGAGGACGCATCCGACGCAAAATACAGATATGCGCCCTTCAACTCGTTGACCTCCCCTTCGCGGCTGTTTTTAACAAGAAAAAAAAAAGATGTCAGCATGATCTTTAACTCCTGCGATACGAAAAGGAAGTATTCCAAACTCACCCCATAGGAATCTTGTCCTTCCAAGCATTCTTAACCTCGGGCGAGCAGAACTCCGAGATATCGGTCCTGATATACCCCGGCGAGATGGTGTTCGCTCTCGCAAAGCCCACCCACTCCACAGCCAGCGACCTGCACAGATGGATGACAGCCGCCTTGGAAGCGTTGTACGCCGCCTGCAGCTGCGGGATGTTGGCAATGTGGCCACTCATGCTTGCTGTCGCGATGAAGCTGCCGTACGTGAACCCTTCGAGCTTCTTGCCGTCCATCGTGGTCCCCTCCTGCTTCTGCCTCCGCCAGTGACGCCCGGCCACCTGGGCGCACCAGAACGTGCCGTCGACGTTGGTGGCCATGACCCGCTTATACGACTCGGGAGGGCCGTCGAGCGCGGCTCCGTCCGTCCAGGGGATTCCCGAATTGGCGACGAAAATGTCGAGACGGCCGTTGAACTCCTTGACGATCTCGGTGACTGCGGACTCGACGGCTTCGAGAGAAGTCACGTTGACTTGGTATGCCTTGCCTGTACACAAGCCCGATCTGGTTAGGCAACTAGACTGGAGTAGGTCTCGACACAGCAGCAGCAGTAGTAGCTAATGGGAAGGGATGGGGGATACGTACACTTCACGCCGTACCTCTTCTCAATCTCTGCGGCCGCATCAAGTGCCTTCTTGTTGCTGTTGTACCAGATAGCCACGTTGGCGCCGGCTTCCGCAAACGCCTCCGCAACTCCGTAGCCGATACCAGCTGCGGCTCCGGTGACAATGGCAGTCTTGCCCTTCAACGAGAAGAGAGACATGACACTGTTTGTTTGGGGAGCCACAGTGATGTCGTGAGCGAACCTTCCGTCCTTCATCTCGGCTGCCATGGTTGAGTTTGTGTTATAATCTGTTAATGTGAGCGCTTCAAGAAGTCGGCTTGATGGTACCGAGCCTGCGGTCAGGGCCAGACAAGACAGCTAAGAATGGCTCAAGTCGAAGTCACTACAACAACAACAACAAAAGCAACAGGAGGGAAGGCGCAAAGTAGCGTGCCATCACCGAGGGGGTCGTCCTCCATTATAAACAGATCCCCCACTCTTCCGGTCTTCCCCCAAGCTGCAAGCATGGAGATAGAGAGATCCACCAGGACTACACCAGCAAAGTCTGGCTGAACGAAGCGAACTCTCCCATCGGACCATACAGAAGATGTTCGGTTATTACGGGGAACCTTCCTAGCATGTATGTTTGGTAAATGTATAACCGGTTCGCTGTTATCCACCGGGTGCCAATATCGGCGCCGGCTTCACACGAGTTTCAGTGGGGGGAGCTGGGGAGCTTGGAGCAACAAGTGAGGGGCCCCGTGGGTGAGCCGGTGAAAGAGACCCTCGCGTAGCTGCACCCCATGCAGGATGATGACAATGGTGGAGCTGCTGAGTTGTGGTGCCCCGTGGTCGCTGTCCGGTCGTTGCACGTTTATCTGATGATCAGGGGTTTTCGGTTCATATCCGGGTGAAGTTCACCGAGACGGTGGTGATAAGTTCTCGTTGGTGGTAGGTTTATGCACCTCTACGGTGGAGACGCGGGATAACAAGTAGCGAGTTAGGCTTGATAATCAGAAAGGAAAGACACGCAGCTTTTGTTGCTGTTGTTGTTGTTGTTGTTGTTGTTGTTCCATGGGGGAAGCTTTTCTTCCCTTTTGGCGGGGCGGAGATGAAGGTTGTGTGGGGGTAAAGCCGGGGAAGTACGAATTCTAAACCACATCCTACCTTCAACACTGTTTCATTCCCGTCTTGTTTTTTTTTTTTTTTTTTTTTTTTGTTGTTGTTGTTGTTTTTGATCTTAACATGTAAGCGATAGTTCGTTCTCCGCTGGTCTCTTTCTGACTTTATGAAGATTATTCATTGCCACCCTTCTGGGTCATCCTCGTGGCTGTTCACAACTAGAAGGACGGATAGGAAGCGTCTTGGTCAGATTTAAGTATGCGTTTGTCCAACAATTTATCCGTTATCCAAGATCCATGCAGAAGACGTGAAGAGACACCACGGTCGTTCCTGAGAATATTCACCATCCTCCGGATAATCAGTCCTTAACCAGTAACCCTCGGAAGAACCTCGCTCCTTGGGTAATTCGTGTTCCTCCACCGAGAGATGAAGTCATCGCGGTTGACTGTTGAACAAACGCTGTTAATTACAATGCCACAAAGAAAAGGGGGCTTACTTCAAACTCCAACGGAAGGGGAAGAAAAGAAAAACACTTACTATACCCTCCACAAATCCTCCTAATACCCGAGAACGCGCTCCGTCCATGAAGAACCCTCCAGTTATCGAAGACTATATCACCTTTGTCAGCCACCACATCATCATCACTCTTAACCAAATTCCAAAGGAAGACTTACTCAACGGCTTCCCGGGCTCCAACTGCACCCACAACTCGCTACTCTTCCTCCTCAAAATCCCATCCCACTTCCTCGCCGCCTCATACCACTCCGACGGGCTGTACTTCCCCCCAAACGGCACCACACCCCTATCATCATTATTCCACCTAACCCTGTGCAGTTCCCCGGTATCCTCATTCAGTTCCAGCACCGGATAAAGCTTGTCAGGCGCAATCGTGATCCCTTCGTTTCCACTCGCATGCCACGGCAGTCTCACGCTGCTCAAGATCTCATAAGCCCGGGGGTCTTCCTCCTTCAGAATCCTCGCCGCGTTGAACCCATCGACCAACAACGACTTTCCCCCTTCTGCCGCCTCCCCTGCTGCTGAGCTTGCAGCTTCTTTTTCTTCAGAAGGAGGAGGAGCGGCCTTGTGCTCTAACAAGTGAAAAGCCTGCAACCCCGCGGGGTCCGTGAAATACGTCGTATCCGTATGCGCCGGCAGCGCCAGGTTCGTGTACGCCGTGTCGGCCATCGCGAGGTCGGGCGTGAAATCGTAAAAGCCGCCGTAATGGGTCACTCGGATAAAGGCGATTCTCTCCAGAAGCTGGCGGGTCACGTCCGGGTCGTCATGGGGTGTGTCTTTGACAAAACAGAAACCGAATTCTTTGATCATGGCGGTTAGGTCGGCGACGCCCTGGTCTGATGCCATCACTCGTGGGAAGGAGATGGTTGGAGGGCGGGAGCCGGCTTCGGAGCCCCAGAGGGAGATTTGGTCGTTTTCGTGCCCGCGCGCGTTGGAGGTGAGGTAGAAAGAGAGGAAGGGCCAGGGGTAGGTGGATGTGTGGTTGTCGGACCCTGTCGTATAGGGGGGGAGGGGAGGTGTTAGTTGGCTGGCTGGGACTGGGAGGTACTATAGGTAAGGTGAGGTTTGTTTTGGGACGGGGTGATGCGCACATTGGACAGTGACGTTCTCCTTGTTGGCTTCAACCTTTGTTGGGTGGATGTCGGAGGGGATCTGAACATCGGTTAGACGTGGTGAAACCGACTGAAGAGAGGAACATTGAGTGAGTCAGGCGGCGAGCTACTTACGGCAAAAGTGTTGAAGTTTCTCTGGAGAGTATCTTGGTTCACGCATTTCGTACACCGGCAGTTGTCACTGTCGTCCAGTTGTCAACCGATGAGAATCCACATAGTGCTAACGGTTGAGTTGAGTCAACATTCAGCAACGAAGGCTTACCGTAGCCAGAAGTTGGGTCTGCAGAGTCGAAGTCAGTAAATAGCTTCCATGAAGGTTTGCTTTTCTGGCAGTGAAGAAAAATCAAACCTACAAAACAGTCCGCTTTCCACCCGTAACAGCCTGTGGAGGGCTCAACTCAAGTCCCTCAGCTGTTATCTCCGCCTTTGGCTCATACAACCGTCGGAAAGAGGATGAAAAGGTTCTTCTCGAGTTCTGGGCAGGTGATGAGGACTTTGCAACAGTGACGGCAGCACAGATATGGGTCCTCGAAAGAGGTTGTCTAAACAAGGAACGAGCGGCGAAGTCAGTCGAATGTTACCATTGATTTTGTCGTAGGGGTTCACACCTGCTGACAACAGCTCTAGAGCGGAGGATTGTCCCTACCACTTTCCCTCTCATCTTTGGTTTCTGTTCTTTTGAAGTGACTTTAGGGAGTTGATGTCCTGGACAATGGCGGAGAGGATATGTAGTAAGGAAGCGGTAATTCTCTTTGAGCCTTTGCGTATGTAGGAGTTATGTACGTCTAAAAGCAGGGACAATGAAAACATGCAAAAGTACCCAAGAGATGGGAAATCAACAAAATGCCACACCTTGAGGATGAAAGAAAATTGAGAAAAAGTTGCAAGGACAAGTTGCCGATGAGTACTGGACATATATGTCGCATCATGATCACCACACTATCGTCTTATACCAAGAAACGAAACGAAGTAACTTTGTATCTTGGTTTCACGATGGGGCCCCTTGCTCCGAGATGGAGCGGGACGTTTCCGTCTGACTTCACGTTGAGAATCCACTACGCTTTGCCTCGGTTGGCATTGGGTTGGCTCCGCTAGAGCGCTAAACCGAATCGGGAATTATAAGTCAGGGACGTCGAAGCCGAACCCGAGAGCTTTTGAGGTTGAGACTGACATTCCTATCGACAATGTTACAAGCTTGAGTTCGATTTTACTGTAGTTGTACTTTCTACCTAGATCCCATGACCTTTCAGATGAAAATAGCAGGTGTCTACTGCGCCCCAATACGTATGTCCCATATTCTCCCAGCCATTCCTTTTCCTTCCCGGCCTCATTATCGTCCTGTCAAGTCCCAATGTACTTTATCATATCAGTACACAAAAAACCGACAAATCCCTACCATTTGAGTCGTTACTCTTCTTCAGCTCCTTCACCTCTCACATCCTCTGTACCCAACAGCTTATCTTCTCCAAGCGAAAAACCGCTCCCACCACGACCCAGCTGCGATGGCAGGCTTGACATCTTCAATGACGACCGGTGGAGACAAGATTACGGTGTTCCAGACCTCCTCACCATCAATAAACAGGCGGTACTTTAAGTCGCTCTGTTCACCTCCCTCGAGGTTCTCGATGGTGATAGCGCCGAACTTGGAGTTGCCCTTGTTGATGTACCTGAAAGATTTGCATTAGCAACGTTGTCCAACCTCGAACGATGGGAATTCGGTGAGCATAACTTACTTGATCTCAACATCCTCAGTATCTCTTTGCCTATACGTGCCAATAGGCGAGTAGAATTGGCTCAATGGGCTAGCAGAGAACTCAAACACCGTAGCGCTTTCAGGCCATGTGCTGTTCATCGGCGGCGGGAACTTGGTGGCCGCAAACTCGTGTCTATCACCAGACAGAACAACCACACCAACACCCCTGCTCGCAGTATCCCACATGACCTCCAAAATCCGTTTCCTCTCGGTCAAGAAGCCGCCCCAAGTATCCTGCGTGTTGACGCCCCAGTTCTTGGTGAAGGGAACCGATGAAGCAACAATCTTCCACTTGACGCCCTTCGGCTCGGGGCGCCTGAGCCATGCAATGAAATCTTCGAGTTGTTCGGCGCCTAGCATAGTCTTGGAATCGTCGGTAAAGGCAACCTTGTTGTTCGAGCGGTAGGTGCGAGTGTCAAGCAGGAAGAAGCTGGCAGGACCCTGGGTAAACTCAAAGTAAGTGGCTCCGCTGCGAGCGCTGAGGGCACCAGCCTTCTTGGCTAGCGGAGGGTTGGCAGCTGCGTGGTAGTGGTTGTAAGGGTCGATGGCGTTCTGGTATACGCCGGTGGTGTTGGCAGACCAGTCGTTCTGAATCTCGTGATCGTCGAGCACGTGTATCCAGCTAAGGTTCTGGCCGACAGCTGGCCAATCTGGAGAAGCGTAGACCTGACGATACTTCTTGCGGTATTCCTCGGTGCTCTTGGCCCAATAGCGCGGAACATCGATGTAGATGAAGTCTCCAAGGAAAAGCATGAACTGCGCACCCAAGCTGGGGAGGACCTTGGCCAAGTGTCGCATACCGGGAATAGCCAATGGGTGATCCGCCGGATTGTAGGGCAAGCGGCTCACGATGCAGGAGGTCGAGAGGAAAGTGAGAGGGCCCTCGCCAACCTTGGGCGGAGTGGTGAACTCTCCGGTGTGATTGTTCGAGGTCTTCCATTCGTAAGTTCGCCGTCCCGAGTTGCGGAGGGGGATCGTAACAACAGCAGTGTAATCGGTCTCGTTTCCGGTCCATCTGACACCGCCAACTGATTGCCACAGAGGGTTGTCAAAAGGAGGCTGGGGGTCCTTGAGATGAATCTGTATGTTGATGGGCATCTTGGTCTGATCCGGCTCACG